ATTCAGTAGGAAGATTTCAAAACTTTCCAGTGATAACATTTTCAAAAAGCGATGAAATATATTTTTTGATTTTTCATTTTACCAGTGAAAGGATTTTCAGTAGACCCTTGAGAGCAATTTTTTTACTTCCCAACATTTTTGTATTTGAAAATAATATGTCTTTTAGACATATGTTGTGAGTCTAAATTTCAGGGAAAAGTGTTGTTTTTTTTCTTCATTTGACTTCTGAAAATGCTTAATGTGAATTCAAAGAGTCAGCTGAAATCTCAGCAATGCTGATTTATATATAGTGAAAGATTTAATTCCAATTCCTTTTGCAGTTTGTGGGAAAATATTATAATCATGTTAGTTATCATAGACCTAACTCGCCCATTTCAAAACGGATATATACCTGTACATGTTCATGTACATATAATATATATATGTCTTTATTTTAGCTGACAACCTTTCTCATAGCCTAAAGGGTAAACATTAGGTATACTAGCTAGTACAACATGACTGATCAAAATTTTTAATAACAATATTTTGAGCGATAAAAAATAATGTTTTGATAAGTTGTTTTACCGGTATATTTGAATAGGACAACCCAGTTATACAAGGTTCCACGATAGCTTTTGACAATAAATCAAGCATGGACAAATGTAATATCTTTTTCAGTTCAAAGTGGCGTGCTTTGATTTTCATATTTAATTTCTTTTTCAGTGTTATTAAGCTCAAGTGATCTCTTTATGTCGATGAAAATATGATCTATTTTTAGAAATAATTTATTGACAATTGTAATGATTTCCTTCTCTGTCCTCTTGACAATCGTGAAACCTGTGATCAACGCACACTCATCAGCGAGGATCAAATTTCATAACTTTCCACATCGGACCAAAGTAAACCATATGGCTGTTTATAATACATATATATATGTATAAATTTATGGTTTCATAAACTCGAGGCTTAACCTTTTCACCCCTATGTAACTTCAGTAAACTCCATGCATTGTTTTGGATGAGTCCATTATGGTCTACAGTACTAGTGGTGAAAGGGTTAACCTTTTCACCACTGTAGACAATAATGGACTCATCCAGATCAATGCATGGTAGAGTACTAAAGTTACATAGGGGTGAAAGGCTTAGACCTAGTTACATTGTATATATAATGGTGTTGTAAGCTTTCAGTCAATTATTTTTATTTTGGTCTATTAGCCTGAATAATTATTTTCCTTTGGAGAATTTTAAGTTGTGTTATACCGATTTCTCCCGATATTTCCCCTATTTGAATGGTCAACAATTAATTACTGAGGGGTTAATCTAAGTTTTAGGGGAAACACCTGTTCTCTGAAATTGGAAATGTTTTTGAACTCTTAGGGAATTTCCTGTAAATATTATCAATGTAAAACTTAACAGCAACTTCTTACTGAGAATGATCTATATATATATGATGCCAATATTGGAAAATAGTTCTAATTGTTAAAATTATTGTTAGGGTGTTATACTTCTAGGATCTTACATGAGTTTCTATTTCATATGAGATTTATGAAATGCGTGACGAGTTTCATAAATTTCATTTGAAATGAAAACAATTGTTAGATCTTTTTCATCACATAATCAAGATTTGAAGCATAAATTTATTCGTGTAAATCGACAATTTTCATGCAACCTTGAAATGTAAAATGACGCCATTTTGACTCCATTGGGTAAGTCTGTGACATCATGTGCATGTACTTGTCCTAAGCGTGACATCACATTTGAAACAATTGAAACCTACAACCAATCACAGGGCTGAGATATATATAGGTCATATTACATGGGTTAATACGCAAACAAATATGACATGTGTATATTTACACGATAAAAACAGTACATTATGTGATAAATATAATACATGTTCATCAAACATTATTTCCTTGTGTATGTCATTTTCATTTGAATAATTAATAAATTGAGAACATTTCTCTTGACATTATATATACATAGGGGAAATTCAAAGATAGAAAATCCTGTGGCATAATTAAGTACCCAGAAAGGGTTATACAAAAGCATAATTGCTAATATAAGATGATTCCCTTTGCCTGTTTGAGGAAATAAAAATGCCTACCTTAAAAAAATTCCTAAAGATTTCCATTGTGTTAGTAAATTATATACAGTATATAGGCACTTCAAATTGACCACCGGATATGCATTAGAATAAAGCATTTGTGTGACTGTTATGATATTGAAGACAGTAAACAAGTTAGGACCAGCAGTAAACAGTGTGCATATTATTTGCCAGTGACAAAAATGAGAGGAAAATGAAAACAAAATGGAACAAAGACAGCTGGTCATGTAGTAGTATTTCAGTCATAAGTTGGTGAATTTTGGTAAAACTGAAATTTTGGAATTTCGGAAAATAGTGCCAAAATTGGAGAGGGGAATTGACCCATATTCAGTCATAAAAAAGGCCTGTATATATCGACCCATGATTTTGTACCTAAAAGGTTTCATTGATGTCTTGAACATTTTTGCTGTTCTGATCATGAACTGTACTTAAAATGCACAAGTTTTCTCCGGTTTTGTGAAAATATCACATAATTGTGTAAACACAATTGATCATATGTTCAACAGTATGAAAAAAAAAAATGTAGCATTTTGTAGTGTAGATCTGCATTGCGTCCATTTTCTATTATATATCAATATATAAAATAGTCAAAATATCCTTATTGAATCCTGTATAGCCTACCGCAATAGCCTACAGCAACCTTCGTGAATTTATAATATCTTGTGATATTTATATTTTTATGGGTCTATTCTAAGTTTGTACAGTACTGCGGATGAAATATGTTAGGCGAGAAATCTGAAATAGGCGTCAACTTGTATTAACAACTTTATATTTTGTATGACGTTTAATTTAGACACATATACAGTGTGTATATGTATGTATACACATTGAAGTATATATAGTGACAAAATTTCCAAAGGAAGTTTAATACATGTGATAATTATATTTATGTCTTATGGACCTTACATCAGGTCTATATTTATTGGGCAATGGTAATAATACTGCTGGTTCCGCAGCACAGGGTATGTAAAATCAATACTGGATGACTTAAAATGAAATGTAGCTATTATAGTCGCGTGGTGATCATGGACGTTTCAAAATTCTTGGCCGCATGGATGTTTACACGTTTCTGGCTATGTTTTATCACTGGATGTTTACATGCTCATGGTCCTAGATCAATTAATGTTTACAAGTTTGTGGCTGTTGATGTTTCTGGTACAAATTTGTGATTATTCATATACAGAATTTGCCGTAGCTAAAGGTCCTCTATATTTTTTCTGGCCATAGGTAAGTTTGCCATATATAGGTCCAATGTTTGTAGCCATTGATGATTTTGCCATAGGTCCTACACATATACAATATATACATGGAGATTCTGGCATTGGATGTTTCTGCAAAAGGACCTGTATTTCTGAACATGGATGTGAAAGTTTTGCCATACGTCCTGTACAATGTATATACATGTAAATTTTGGCGTTAGATGTTTTTCCATTGTAGGTCCCGTGTATCTAGCAATTGCTGTCTTTAATTGCCATAGGCCCGATGTTTCTAGCCTTGAATGTCTTTAATTGCCATAGGCCCGATGTTTCTAGCCTTAAATATCTTTAATTGCCATAGGCCCGATGTTTCTAGCCATGATTTTTTTGGCCATAGGTCTGTTTTATGGCCCGTGATGTTTTTATTGGTCCCAATTTTTTTGGCCATAATTGCTTTTTCTATCAGTAACCATGATATTCTGGCAATGGACCCTTTTGTCTCTTAGATTGTTTCTGGTCCTGCGTATGGATGTTTTCACCATAAACGTCCTTACCCTGTATGTTTTTGCCCCCTGTTCTATACTTCTGACCATGAATGTTTTTTCTGAGGTCCGTTGTATGTTTTGTGAGTATATACACATAGCTGTGTACATGTGTATTAATTAATTCGTGTGTCATCTATCGTCATGTGCTGACTGACGTTACTAGCTAAGTATTTAGCCGATGTTGAGGAAGGAAGATAGACTTTTTTATGCATCCATATGTGTACTTGATACTGTATGTTGGGTTTTCAAGGATTTAACAGGACAATTTGTATGTCTGCATGTACACAATAATTGTATATATGTTTGTTTTGACATCTCAGTTAAATTTCAATGTTTTGTTTCATCCGAGTTTAAATCAGTTGAGTGAAGGAGAAATTCATATTGAACCCTTTTTAATGTCAAAGTTTCTGAAAATGCTTGCCCAGGGCATGTCTTCTATACTATTTCACCTGGAGTAACCAGATTTGTTGTACAAGCTGGACATCTTGTATATCGACATGCCGGAGTGCAGAGTGCAAGAATTTGGTCACTGTGACCTATAACTTGACCTTTGATCTTTACTTTTGAAAATGTCTGTTGGGGGCATATTTTCTGTACTATTTCACCTGAAGTGACCAGATTTGGTGTAAAAGGACATCTTGTATATTGAGATGGCAGAGTGCAAGAATTAGGTCACTGTGGCCTATGACTTGACCTTTGACCTTTACTTTTGTAAATGTTTGCCTTGGGCATATCTTCTGTACTATTTCACCTGGAGTATTAAACCAGATTTGGTGTACAAGGATATCTTTGGACGTTAGAGTGCAGAGTGCAAGAATTAGGTCACTGTGGCCTATGACTTGACGTTTTACCTTTACTTTTGGAAAATGTTTGTCCTGGGAATATCTTCTACTATTTCACCTGGAGTAACCAGACTTGGTGTACAAGGACATCTTGGGATGATGTGTTTGTTAAGTATAGAAATCATTACTGGTGGGGGACAGTTACCCAATGTTAATATATTTCAATTCAACTGGCACAGCAAGTTAAAAAAGAGCATTTTTGATCAACAAGTGCTCCTCGAACTCAGCAACTTGGTGAATTTCTGATGATAAATTATGACGAAGGAATGACGAGCCGTCTGAACTGGAGATTTACGTTTCTCATGTTAAAACCCCTGATTTTTCTGTTTCAGGTACATTTGACAGACAAGGGCATATAACTACATTCACATGATCAGAGACAGGCTCCTGTACCCTTTCAAAGACCTTGACCCTCGGTAGACACGGCCAAGGTCAGAGTTGAGGGGTCATCATGCCCCAACCTAAGGCGGGAAGCCTCAAGGATCCTGATATTGCGGGACTCTTCTTCTTCAACGATGACCCAGAGAAAATATTTGTCGATCTACGAGAAATTGGCCATGGAAGTTTTGGTGCAGTGTACTTCGTAAGTTGCAGAAATTTTTACCACATACCGTATATGCATAATATGTATAGAATAATTAGAAAATAACCAGAACAGAATTTTTCCTGCAATTTGGAAAAAGTTGAAATCCTTGAGTGACATTTGCAATATCATATATAGTATGCATGTGATTTTTTCTCCAGGAACTCCGGCTTTTCTCCACCACCGAAACCTGGCACGTCCTTAAAGTTAAAATGACCATAGCTGTTATAACTAATAGGACGTAAAACCCAAACAAACATAGAACTTTACCTGGTTGAATGGCTGCTACAATTTACCATTAGAAAACATGATTAATCTTAGGGGGAACCAAATCAGTACATTTTTTGTTTATTCGGAGCCTTGAATATTATTACACCCTGTCTAATCTGACCAATACATACATGTATGTTTAACACAGGTTGTCAGATTAGACAGGTTTACATAATGAAATGCATTTCAAAATAAAAGGAATAAATAACAAATGATTATCAACAAAGTAGATTGTTTTATTAAACAAACGTTTTTTTTGTGCCAAGGAAATGTGATGGCATGACTGAAATATGATGTTTATTTGTGAAATAAGTTTTTCAGTGGAAATATAATAGTTTGTAACGGAAGTGTGCTCAATTGATTGAGAATTGTTTGATTTTGATGTCAAAGTGTGTTCTTAATGTTACAGGCCAGAAATATTGTCAACAAAGAGATTGTGGCCATCAAGAAGATGTCCTACAATGGAAAGCAGGCGAACGAGGTAAGCAAGGAAGGCATACATCCCCAGTGATTATTAACCTGAATTATCTCCCCTGATCTTCATGGACTACAATTCGTGGGTCGTTAAATTTGATAGTATGGTCAAAATCTTTCCCACGAATGATTAAGGATCGATTTTGAGTATCGGTGCAGAATATGGTTCTGTTTTGTTCAATAAAACTATTTGTGAGAGAAAAATCCCTTAAATAGTACCGCAAACCATATGCTCCATGTCTGAGTTTACACAAGAGCAACAGAGGTCAAAGTCATACTAGAAGCCACCTTTAACAGATTGATCAGAAGTATTATTGCTCCTGTTTGTATTACACTTTGATGAAATGCAATTAAGCTCAATTAATCTTAGTTAGCCACTTGTTTCAGAGGCTGAATTGAACTTATTAACTACCGTTACTTGCAAAGTTTTTGAAACAAAAATTGTTAATGGAAATATGCTAATTAAATAAAATAAAAAAAATCATTTAGGCTTTAGTTAGTCAATGTTCACCTATATGTAGTGTTGGGAATCTTAATCAATTATCGGAAGTCTTTTAATGAACAATTATCGATTATAATCGGAACATCCAAATTCTGGTAAATCTATTTTGAAATATGTGTAATTATGATGATTAGAATTGGGATTTGCAGTATACAGTAATTTTGCCATGTAAAATCAAAGGCTGACTTGGTTTTTACACTTTAAGTTTTGACTTACTACTAGAATTTGACTAAGAGTAAAATCTGACAGATATCAACAGAAAACAGCATGCAACATTTAAACCGATTAATCGATTATGAAATTTATAAATCAGTTAATTTGAATGGGCTGTACAATCGATTGATTTTTCGATTGTAATCGTTTATCGAAACGACACTACCTATATCTTTTCCTTTTTTTCTCCAGAAATGGCAGGACATTATCAAAGAAGTTAAGTTCCTAAGACAATTGAAACACAGACACGTTATAGACTACAAAGGGTGCTATCTCCGTGAACACACAGCATGGGTAAGTAGGTGCTTCCTATCACCACTCTCTCACCCCTAGGTAACTTGAGTAGACTCTACCATACATTCATCTGGATGAGTCCACTATGGTCTTCAGTGGTGAAAGGGTTAAAAGAAAAGTGGACGAGTGGAATTTTGAAATTACCAAGGTAAAATACAACAACTCTGCATTGGCCCAGGGAAATGTGAGTTTTGCTAAATAATTTGAAAATGTCCCATTGGTTTTATTTAAATCAAGATAAATTGTAATAGAAATTGATGAATAATTTAATGCTTACTTTGATATACAGTAAAATCAAAAAATGTTCTCCACATTTTGTCTGATGAAAGAAATAGTTTTATTCCATTAAGTAATTACTATGTGTGTTCGTGTTTACAGCTGGTTATGGAATACTGTCTAGGCTCCGCCTCGGACATCGTAGAAGGTCAGTATTTTTTATCTGAGCCCATTATAGAAATTTCAACAGTTATTACCACCCCTCCCCACCACCCGTACCCCATTATCATTTCTGGAATAGCTCGTACAAAATTCATGAATTGTTGTTCAATTTATAATTAATCATAATTAAATAAGAAATATCATGTTGATTTATGTACAGTTACAAAATGTAAATGATCAGATTTATTTCTGGATTATTCATGGCTTTTCTGCTTTACCTATATATTGATCAAAAAAAGTTTGTTTGTTTCTTCGTGATAGCCAAGTAGGACCCAAACAAGTAATTATAACGGTTACTCAAATTGAAATGTGATGAAACTGGAAAAAGATAAAACGTCTATTGCAATTTCTTTTGCTTGTTTGTTTAATCAGAAACAGGGTAAACATCAAGTGAACTCTTGTGTATTGAACTTTCTTTTGTTTCAGTTCACAAGAAGCCATTAAAGGAGATAGAAATCGCAGCAATCTGCCACGACGCTTTAGAGGGCCTGGCCTACCTACATACTCAGGGCAAAATACACCGAGACATCAAGGCGGGCAATATACTGCTGACAGAAAACGGCACCGTCAAACTGGGTAAAAACAGATTGCATGTGACTTACATTTTTCAGAACAATGTTTATGTAAATAAGAGGTATCGAATAATGTTTAAAAAATTTCAATTCAAAAATAAAAGTAGGCTTGGGAAACAAAGATGGTAAAGCAATTTACAGAATGTTGTTTCTTGGAGTTTTAAGTTATGTTTTTTTAAGTACAGTTACAATTTTGATGTGGTCGACAAAAGTTCCAGACATTTAAATTTTGCGTTTTTTGGCTAGTGCGAATAAAATTCCAGGTGAGATGACAAATCACAGACAAGAGAAGAGGATATCTTGTTGCACTACAACATAAATACAATTGACAAGAAAATAGCTTTCTTCTTAAAAAACACCCTGACGTTTTTAAAGACACCTCCATGAAATGTGCCGCAAACTATTTTATGTTTCCAAATATTTACATGCACAATGAAAAGTTAAATCTCGTGCATATTTTCACCACATAAACAAGGAACAAATAGAGGTTATCTCCTGTGGGAATTAAAATCCTGATAACATTCTGATATATGATTGTTAGATGTATGGTCTGGGGGGAAAAAATAAATAAAAAAATACAGTGTTATTTTCATGACATTTAATTTTGTGACTTATTAACAATCATTATCTATATCCCGGAATACTTTCCTCTGTCTCTACAATTTCGGCACCACCAGGCTTTGTGTTTATAGAATAGAAGAAAGTTGATGGTGTGTTGCATCAGAGTGTTTCTGTATTTCCAGCGGACTTTGGGTCGGCGTCTCTGATAAGTCCAGCCAACTCGTTTGTGGGGACGCCTTACTGGATGGCCCCCGAGGTGATTCTAGCCATGGACGAGGGTCAGTACGACGGCAAGTCGGACGTCTGGTCAATGGGCATCACTTGTATAGAACTGGGTAAGGGTTATACTGGTCAGACAAGGGTGGGGTCCATGTTTGGCCCATACAGCGACTTTTTTCATATTTTGCAACAACGTTGCCAGACAGCATTGAAAATTGATGCTCTTAGCTCCCTAGGGTCTGATTTGGCCAAATTGGAGCTCCTTGAAGTACTCCTGCTCAGAACATGAAGTTATACTTTCTCAAGTGTCTAAAAAAATCTCATCATTTTCAATACTGTCTGCAGTCTGGCAATGTTGTTGCAAAATATGAAAAAAATCACTGCATATGGAGTGGACCCCGCCTTTGTTCTTATTCTTAAAACCTAAATCTGGAGATCATTCCCATCTCCACCTCTCCTTCTGACTTTCCATCATAAAGTTTTAAGATGTAAGTATCTACAGTTTTGGATGTGATTTTCGAAGAAACTTTAACTTGTAACTTTAAACTGGGTAAAATACTTAACTCTTCAAAAGCATGAAGAAAATTCATTTATATACTATAAATATATATGGATATTAAAACATTCACTTGTCAATCAAATTATACTATAATTGTTGGCTTGGAATATTCTTTTGGAAAAGGTGTCCGAACCACAATATTCTCAGGCAAACATATGTCAGGCAAGAATCTTTGTCACGTTTTTGATTTTTGGTATATTTTGCATTAGTAACAGCTTACATAATCTTATATATATTAAAATGTTTTGACTGCCAAATATAAACATCCTGTATTTATGTGTTTAGTATGGTGTGTTTAACAGCGTAAGCCTCCCTTATTTAATATGTGTCTTTCGTGTGTTTCACAGCCGAGCGTAAGCCTCCCTTATTTAATATGAATGCCATGAGTGCTCTGTATCACATCGCCCAGAATGACCCGCCCACACTGGCGGGAGGGGAGTGGTCCGACAGTTTCCGCCACTTCGTCGACTCCTGCCTCGCCAAACTTCCCTGTGATAGGCCTTCTTCCTCAGATATTTTAAAGGTAACAGAAAAAAACCTTGTTCCTTAGGTATTATAAAGGTAAAAAACAGATGTGAGAAAAAATCTTTGATCGCTTGAATCAAGTCAATGCTCCAGGTTAGTGGCAGGGATGTTCAATTTCATATTCAGAGTACTAGGCTTTTTTTGTCTAAACGGTTGAACCGGTTGGACCACAGTTGTTCGTTTATTAAATAATGACGGACCTAGTAATCGGATGCTGCTTTCAGGCGAGCCTTGTCAAATCGTTGCAAGGCCTGCATAAACATTTGCAGGTCCGTCAGGATTTATACCCAGAAATGTTACATTTAAAAGTGGACGTACCTGTTGTTCCACATAAACGAACAGGCCAATAGTTAGTAGACAGATATTGCAAAAACTTGACTGGCCTAAACTGTGTAATCTCAAAATCTGTATTTCTGGTTGCTAGTCCTTACAGAATCTACTAGCGTCAGGTGTCTTGGCAGTGGATTAGGTCATTCCTATTGAGTAAATTCTTGTAATGCAAATTATTTTAATTGATAGCGCCTTTTTGGGTGCGGGCAAAAACTTTTCAAAATTAGCAAGTTACAGTTACAAAAGGAGGATCTTTGAATAACGGGATAGAAAACATTTTGAAATGATTATTGGTAGCAACAAGAAAACCCGGAAATCCATTTCTCTTTCTATCTGATTTGAGAATATCATTATCCAGCTTTCTTTACCTCGAGAATGATCTTATCACATTGAATCTGTTCTGTAGCACCATTTCCTAGAGGGGACTGGCCCGAGTAGTGTTATCATAGACCTAATTCAGCGCACCAAGGACGCGGTCCGAGAGCTAGACAACCTCCAGTATCGCCGTATGAAGAAGATTCTCATGGTGGATGTGATTGAGGGTGAAAACAGCTCCAACGGGCCGACATCCGACGACTTTACCACGGACGATTCATCCCAGGTCAGTCCATGTGACCCCTCTCTGGTAAGTCTTGTTCCCTATTCAGCTTGACCGTTGCTGTGTGTCCAGTGGTTTTTTGCCTGCGGCCTGCATGCTGCCTGTCTGTGTGTTATTGTAACTCACTGACCACTGTCCAGTATCAAGTAGGTATCTAGACTGACCACTGTCAAGTTGGTACACAGACTGTCCATTATCAAAAGGAAGCTCAGACTGACCAGTGTCCAGTAGATACCTAGACTGACCACTCTGACTGACCACTGCAGTGACAGTAAGATTATGAGGGAATTTTCTTTGCATAGTCGAGGTGTTTTGAGAAGTGATATGGGATAGGGATTAGGGATTGTTCACAATTATTTTTGCTGTGCCATATGGACATTGCTGATTAGTTGACATGATTTCAAGATTTTATTTGAAGAAACGTTTTTTCTGGGAATCCTTGGCATCCTGCAGAGTTGATCATTGACCTTAATTCAACCATGTGACAAAAATTTGGTCCGTGTTTTAAAGGAGTTCACAATTTTGATAGTGATAACAATTTTGATAGTGATAACAATTTTGATAGCGATAACAATCTGGCTTTCAGTTTCATGAAGCAGAAGCTTATAACGGTTTTATAAGGTGTCGTCGCATTGTGTGATTATGAATGTTAAATTAACAGTGATTTTCCATTGGTGCTGGGCTTGTTCGTATGGCTACATTTTCTACCAGTTTTTGATTATTTATTTGTCCTACCATAATATTACAACAGGCGGTTTCTGCATGAATTGGGAAAATAAAGCATTATTTTTATAAAAAAATGGGATATTCCTCATTTTGGGAATATAAAGCACTTTGTGGTAGAGAAAGCAAGCAGCCTGTGTCTGGCTCTAAAACTAGGCAAAAAAATAATTAAAAAAATGCATATTTACACCTCATTTATAACAAAGTTCAGTTCAAGGTAAATTTCAATATAGCGGTTTCAAATAAAGCTGGTTTAGTTTAAGTCTGATGGTTACCTGTGACTTCAATTTCAGTACAGACCTAATAAGATGTGTCATTTGACTGTCAAACCTTAAAGTAGAAGGTGAAATATCTATATTACTGGGCTTCTTAACTCATTCACCCCTGAAATTTCATAATGAACTATTCCAACCTTTGAATTGGAAGAGCTCAAATGTGTCTTTAGGGGTGAATGAGTTCACATGTACTATTAGGCATCTTAAAGGTACCGGTATTCCTCGACCTTGACATGTATATTACTGGGATTTTAAAGTGTGTTATTGGACCTTACACCTTTATTACTGCTCCGTGAATTGGAGTTCCTAAGGTAACTTGGACACAGCAAGCTGAATGTTCCTTTTATAGATTCACCAAAGAGGGTTGTCACAATTTGTTTACATTGTACATATTTTAGATTTGAGTAACATATTCAGAACCAACAAACTTTAATATCAGTTGAATACAATTTTAGAATTTTAAAAATATTCCATAGAAAAAAGTAATTATTGACCTCAAATTTGAGGGAATATTTTAATTGTCGAAAAGAAATACATGTTACTTCAGTAGATCAAATCTTCGGAATGAAAATATGTAGATATTTTGATACAAAGCTTCAACTATTAATGTTTGTTGGTTTCTACCCTTGTTTGATTGATATTATTTGTGATTTTCAGATTATGTATCGTTACTAATGTCTTCTATTTTACTGGTTTATTGATTTCGTAAGTGTGTTCTGTTTGGAGGTTTTGCATGATTTCAGTTAGATCCCATTGTTACCTTGATTATATCCCTGTAGAGACTTGATTTTGTGGAATAAAACAGACTTTTTATCGTATTCTGGCTGCTAAATACTGTTTGTCATCAAATTTTCACTATACATAATCTGAGGTAAAATTTAACTCATTCACCCCTAAAGACACATTTGAACTCTTCCAATTCAAAGGTTGGAATAGTTCATTATGAAATTTCAGGGGTGAATGAGTTAAGGTGTATTGGACACTATTCATTACTTTTGCATGAACATGTTGTAAAAATATTTAAAAGTCTGAAAATCTATTTTGTATTGTTGAACATCATTTGAAATTTATAAGCTTTGTCAAATTTTTCCTTCGTCATCTGTGATGTCCGCCATGTTTTATCCATATAAAAGAGGTTGGATTCAGTGGTTGTAGCTTGTTGTCATCACCCTGCTTAAGGATGTATGCTACCTTGCTGTAATGTTCTCTGCCTTTTCATAAGAGTTCCGCATTCAGAAACCTGTGTAAAAATCCTTCCGGTTCCGGATAAATTAGGATTTTAAGAGAGATAAATCTTGCACAAATTGCAGGTGAACTTTGTGAGGTAGCATATATATATAGCCTTTGTGAATTCTTTTTTTGTCATATTTAAAATCTAAACAACTAGACTCTTTCATTTGGGTATGGGACTGTATGTTGGTCTGGAAATCTTTAAAAATGTGCATGTCAACAAGATTGATGTCAAAATGAAAAAATAACATCAACAAGTTATGTAAACATGCATATTTTGGATTTGCCGACAGAGATTACAATTCTGTCACTTAAGTAAAAGGGTCTATTTTATGCCGACATAAGCCATGTTGATTAACTTTCGGCCATGTTGTTTTACTAGGATGACGATAACATCGACAGTAGCACGAGTAAGTCGAGCAGTATGACGAGTCAGCACTCGATGCCGAGTAGTAACCTGAGCAGCAAGTCGAGTAGTCAGAGCAGTCTCCAGGGTATCTCCACCGACGACAGCGCGTCCACCTTCCATCGCGAGCATAGCGTAAGTATCCACAGACGCCCTAATCTGTTACCAGGAGTCACATTATGTGAGTCTTGCATAATTGACACAAATCAAATACGAGGTTTTATTTTGATAAAGAACTGTTCAGTTATCATGATTTTTTTTTTTCAAGTGATGATTTCAGAGAAGAATTGAAGTTTTTGTGAGAATCTGCCAAGTCCTTTTGATAAGGTTCAGATTCTAATTACTAGTTGAGTTGTTTGTTTACATTTTAACCCTTTCACCCCTAAGTAACTTAGTAGACTCATTCAACCATACATCTGGATGAGTCTATTATGGTCTGCAGTGGTGAAAAGGTTAGCAGAATGTTTACAGGTTGTTTAGTGATTTAATTTTTGTCAACAAAGAAACGTTGGTTATAGTTGTGGCCTAGTCTATGTTAAAACTACTCTGATAGCAGATTTGTTTTTAATGGTTGCCCTGCCCTGGGGGATTTCCTTTCAAATGGTCATATTTTTAAATTCTGTGCAAAAGATGAAAATAAAAGTCTTAAAATGGCAGGTAATGGCTTAATGGAACCTGTTTACTGACAGATGGCAGCATTTTATTTCACAGATCCCTCGTCTGATTAAAGCAGATAGTTTGTGTGTATTGACTTATTGTATGGTTCTTGAGTATTAATATTAATATAATTTATTATCAATAGATAATTTTCGGATCCGTTTAATTGACATTTGCATTCCTTTGTGGTTTGTCATTTGAATTGAAGGTTGTATTAATTAGTTATTCTATTTCACCAAAACTGATGTTGTCCTAATTTCAATGTGAATGTATTGAAAATTGAATTTTTATTGAAAAGTGGTATTCTTAAGTTATCCTCCATGCTAATGAGAGAGACTGCTGTGTGGCAATATGGAGAAATATGACCCTTTGTACTCAAATGAGTTATAGATGTGCAGCAATGTTCCGGGCCTGTTTGTATGTAGAGGAGTATAATGTGCCCGTAGATCTGAATCAATGAAAAGGAGACTGTTCTTGTATGGTGCCATAGAAATATTGCCCTTCAGTAAACGAGTAACTGCCCTTGAACATATGTTAATGAGTCAATGTCCTTTGACCTATCTATCTTGTATTGTATTCAAGTATCCTTTAATTTATGCAAATGAGTGACTTTGTCCTTTGACCTACAGTAATGGGTTCAGTATTCTATGATCATGGCTTGCATTAATTTTTTAAGTATATATATATGTAAATAAGCTACATTAATTAGTTACACTGCCCTTTGACCTATGTTAATCATATGTAAATGAGCTATATTCATTGCCCTTTGACCTATGAGTCCTAATGAGGTATATATCATTGTCTCTCTGTAGCCGCCTCCTACACTTCAGTCCTACATACTACAGGTAACAAGGTCAAAGGTCGCATCGTATCAAACTGAGTGTCTGTCTGTGTGTCTTGTGGTAGTATTTGTGTCGAGAAATTCTCCCGCTGCATCATGATCATCTTCTAACACTGTTTCTGCCCTTGTCCATCTTCCACTCGATTGATTGTGTCTGTGTGTAGAAGCCATTTTGAGGGCAGATTTTTGTGACGTTTTGAAATTGATCTTTTTTGTCATCAATTGTATGTCTTGGGTGCAGAACCAGCTATTAACTCATTCACCCCTGAAATTTCCTAATGAACTATTCCAACTTTTGAATTGGAAGAGTTCAAATGTGTCTTCAGGAGTGAATGAGTTAAACACTTATAGAACCTCATTGTGAAAATGATTCTGTTGTCGTTTTCTATTCAATTAAAGTAGAGTGTGATCCTTCCCTCGTGTGTGTACACAATGTAGCCACAATTATATACTACAGTAGAATGTCTTCTGTTTGATCATTATAATTCAATGTATTACATTACAGAGTACAAGATTCTGTTTCTCATTTCTATCTACTGTAATAAATTTCAAAGCCTTAAATTTTGTAGACATGTTTGGGTAGAAGTATATGATTCTATTTCTCGAGGGAAAATATCACTAGAGAAATATAAAATTCTATTTCTCGTGGTAAAATATCAATAGTGAAGTATATGATTCTATTTCTCGTGATAAAATATCAATAGAAAAGTATGTGATTATATTTCCTGTTTTCATTCTGCTATGAAAACATTCCAAATTTAAATGTTTTCATGCCTTAGTAAAATTTGATTAAATCATAGTTATTTCTTGTTTGTCTGTCTCCCTTTCTGTAGTTAGTGGTAGAAGAAGCTATACCTCCAGTTGAGTGTTTAGATACTTACAACTTGTTGTTCCCACCACTCTGTAATGTAGTGTATGGCTTTCTTTGTAGCAATAAAATGTTTTGTTTCTGAATTTCTTCTTGTTAACCAGTACCAGTAGGGGACTAAAAGTCTACACTTTGTCTGTCTGTCCATCCGTCAATCTGTCTGTCCATCTAACCAATCTATGTGCCACTATGTCTTATATCTCCTTAACACTGTCTCCAAATTTTGTATTTAATTTCCTGTTTTGATAGCAGAGTAGCACATAGTAAAATAGGGTCTTGTGCCTAACTCGGTACAGAGTTTTGGCCCTTTGTTTACCATACAGAGTTTTGGCCCTTTGTTTACCATACAGAGTTTTGACCCTTTGTTTACCATACAGAGTTTTGGCCATTTGTTTACCATACAGAGTTTTGACCCTTTGTTTACCATTACAGAGTTATGTCCCTTTGTTTACTAGAGTTATGGCCCTTTGTTTACCATTACAGAGTTATAGCCCTTTGTTTACCATTACAGAGTTATGACCCTTTGTTTACCAGAGTAACAGCCCTTTGTTTACCATTAGAGTTATGTCCCTTTGTTTACCATTACAGAGTTATGGCCCTTTGTTTACCATTACAGAGTTATGGCCCTTTGTTTACCAGAGTTATGGCCCTTTGTTTACTAGAGTTATGGCCCTTTGTTTACCATTGATCTTATATTATTGACCTAGTCATATCTCATGTATTCTGTCACCTGCAATTGCCAATTTTGTTACGTCATTGCTTCTTGGGATGGCAGCAGAAAGTCAAGTGCTGAAGTTGTGTCTTACGTGACCCCTATAAATACAGTTATGGCCCTTTGGTTTTTTTTATGCCAAAGATTATACGGAAGATGGGACTTTGGATTGCTGGCAATCATTTGTCTTGTTGTCATAGTTTTGTTATCCTTACCTCACGATGCAGTAGATTTAAGGCTAATATGTTTTGCATGTTTTTTTTGTTTTGAGAAAAAGCTGGATTTGTGAAAAAAACACATTCTAAGTTTCATAAAAAAAATATGAAAAAAATATCTTGACACAAATGCATGTCGTTCAGAATGTATAGACTTTTCAATGTTGAAAACAAAACTAAACAATGCGTCCTGGTAGTGCTTGAATGATTGATTAATTTTAGATTTAGATTTGAAAAGAAACTTTGAATTTTTCAACTTACTCAAAATTAATAGTTGATAGTAGTTAGTTACACCTTGATCTATGAGAACAGTGTCATGACTTATCATTCATAACAAATATCTAACAATGTGAATATAATATATTGATCAATATATTGTGTGTTCAGATCTAGTTTTTGAGTGGATACAAATAATGTAGCTGAATAGTGTCTGTTTTTGATTTATTGGAAATTGTTTGGAATAAACTTAAAATCTACTGGAAAAGTTCGCGAAATTCTTTTTTTACATGCATGGTAATTTTTGTTTGTAAAAGACTGAGGTAATAAATACTTAAGTGAAACCTGCACAAACTGAAAATCACAGGTATTAATGATTCAATCTAAAAAAGACAGGTTTACACTTCACACATACGTTTCATGGAGTCAAACCTGCTTGCATCGAGAGACCACTCCAATTACTAGCAACTTTCTTACCTTTTAGACCATGATTTTGTCAGCTCCTACAAAGCAGCTTTTAGACCATGATTTTGTCAGCTCCTACAAAGCACCTTTTAGACCATGATTTTGTCAGCTCCTACAAAGCAGCTTTGAATCTTCCCTTGTGTGGTCGCTTTACACAGATTTGGCTTTACATAGAAATGTATACAGTGGGGCGTTGTTGAATGTCTGGTTTATACATGTTTCCAAATTATACAGGTTCCACTGCACTGTTATTATGTTTCACGATAATTAAATGCAAAAACCTTGATTTCTTAAAAAAGGATGCGACTCTTTTGCTTACGAGAGTCTTAAGAAAGCCTTTGTACGTCTTAAGAGATCTGTGAAGAATTTTGCTGCGCTAGGATCTTAATTGAAATACATCACCATCAAGTCTGTTGTTTGTAAATCTAGGGACTATTCATTAATTTGCTGCCCAGGTTAAAGTTCATTGCTTTCATTTCATTGTCATCTTGTTTTTCTACCTACAAGGACTGGTCCCTGCCTCAAAGGTCAAGTTATTACAGCAATGTCCACCCCAACAAGGTATGCCCTTCCCCTGGGGCTGACCCCAGAGGTCATGCCCCACCCCCCGGGGCTGGCCCCAGAGGTTACGCACTGGGTTATAGCATGCCTTTCATCAGTATTGTATATAAATATATATATATATATACAGCATGATCTCCTGTCACTTAACAGTGGGTGCAGCCTCATTTGTCACAACTGTCCTGATTGGTTGAAATTGTTTTCTAACTCATTCATCCCTGAAATTTCATAATGAACTAATCCAACCTTTGAATTGGAAGAGTTCAAATGTGTTTTGGGATGAATGAGATTTGATCGGATATAATAAAAATAATTCTAATGAATTTACATGTTTTCTGTTTCTTGATACGTTTACTTCTGGAAATAAACATTTATAAGAATTGTATTGAATTCTAATTAAAATTCAGTTTATGGTTTGGTAATGAAAAAAGATGCAAAACAGTTTCAACTCTGACCTGGAAGTAGTTTGTGACATTTTAACTTTAACCCGGCCCTCTTAAATCACATCACCATGGATACTGTTCTGTTTATGGATGCCACTTTTACATGTTTCATATCATTGTTTTGTTGTATGTTTGTAAGTAGCTGCTTTTAACATTGACAATCAACAGCTCAGGGCTACTAAACTGATGTCCAGATCCTGGTCACGGCACCAGTATTCCAGACTAATCATACCAAAAATGCCTGTGTCTTCACAATTTGAGAAATTTCATATCATTCCAAGGAATTGAGATTTTCATAAATTGAAAATAGTTTAATGTTAATAAAATTAAAAATCCATTCACCATCAGAGCAGGTGAAGAATATTTGTACTAGCTAGTATGTGCCTGACATAAATCAGTGTAGGGAATACATGTTTTTGATCCATTAGATATTTTTGATATGTATTTGAATTGTTGATCAGTTGAAGACAATTTCAGATTTATTAATATCAATATTAGACCCTGACCTGGTGGTTGTCTGCTTCTTGTGAACATATTACGTACACAATTCTCGTATTTTGTCAATTGCAATTTTTAGTTGTGTAGCGAATACTCAGTCTGCTGTTTCTTGTCACACGAAGTCAATCCATATACATATATTTATATATCACATGATACACAAGTTGTCTGATAGCAAGTCACTTAGAAATTTAAATATTTTATGGTCACATGACTTTGTACATTGTCATGTGATTTGTATAAAGGTTGTTGTCATATGGTTACAACATAGATCACATGACGGTCGCACAACTTTTTACACTGTCTTGTGATGTCATTTTAAACAGAATATACAGTAAAGATGGTAGTCTGACACAGCTAAAATAACAAATTTAACTTACCAAATCAAATTAACAAGTGCATATCATTTCAAAGAAATAATCCATGAACTTTTTCAATTGAATACCATCCAACTTTCTTTGATTTCAATAAAAGCAGTGATAGTATAGGTCATGCCTGATTAAATTATTACATACAAATTATTAAAAATAGAAAACATTTCACCAATAATGTTCAAGCCTTGACCTGACCCTCTAGAAGGATCGATAAATATTTTGATAAGGAAATGTATCCAAGTGCATATTTGATAAAATTCCTTCTTACAAATCAATTTACATCCCAATTTTTCTACTGAAATTATAAACTAAAAAAAATAACTATTTCTTTTTGCATGATATTACTAAAAAGAATATCATTAATAAAATCATACTTTTTCTGAATATTTTTACTTTATGTTAACCTTGGTTTAGAAATTGCCACCAATTGGTTGTATACACACAGACAGCGTTCGTCTGTTGGTGCTGCCACCTAGTGGTAGATTTCTATTGGTGCTGCCACCTAGTGGTATATTTCTGTTGGTGCTGCATCCTTATGGTTGTGCAGAATGTGTTGTGTTGGTGCTGCCACCTGTATCTAGTGTGTGTGTACGTACAGTGTATCTGTTGATGCTGCCACCTGGTGGCAGATTTTCTGTTAGTACTGCCACCTAGTGGTAAAACATAAGATGTAAGTGTACTGTACTAAATTTTTAAATGTTGTTTTGTTTATTAATAGATGTTTCAGTCTCCCCTGCTCTTTCTCAACCTGGTATGAAAACATTTTATTTACCAAATTTTCAACATGCATGGTATACGTTGTAATCTCTGTATTGAGCAAGAACTTGGTGTTTCAAGGCAGAATGAATATGCAGCCATTTTAATTTTGTTTCCAATATTTTCTACTTCTTTTTTTTTCACTGTGACATCAATTCAGTTTTTAGCCATTTTTTGGCTAAAAACTCCTTGCTAGTGTCTTTGCATGTTGCATATTCTATTTACGATCAACGACGGTCGAACGGTTCGCATGGATTACACAGATGACCAGCTACAGTGTTGATAGTACAGGTAGTCGTATAGATACTGTTGACCTTCAGGAATTCCCAAGGTCATTTGTAGAGGACTTTATTTGTGATGTCATTATTATTGTTATTCATAAAAGGTTATAACTTATACTTTTAATGAATTTTTTTTCAGAAAAATATTATGATTTTGTGCATTTTATATTTATATATAGCATCAGGCATTATTCATAATTGGGAAGAAAAAAGTGTATTTCAACATATTTATTATCATATCATCAGAATGACCAGAAATTTTGAATTACGGATCTATCCTGTCTTTATATTCAGGCTAAACTCTGGTCCTATTTCTTTTATGATATGGAAAATATCCAATTTTGTCAAGAAAATTTGTATAAGAAATTTCCTGCATCATTTGATAACCCCCCCCCCCCCCCCCCCCCCCAAAAAAACAACAACAAGCAACACTTCATATGCTTTGTATACCATAAATTGTTTTACCAAAAAAAGACGGGGACAATATTTAAAAAATAAATAAAAAAAATGTGCAAACTTCTTTAATTCATTAATTATTCTGTGTCAGTTTATGCTGTAACATTGATTGTAATAACGATAACCTTTCCCCCGTGCTATCGATTTACTCAGATGTTATAAAATGGTCAGTCTCGGTTTGTTTACGTAGTCCAGTTGCTCTTGTATTATAGAAGGGACACCTTGTTAGTAAATTCCGTTGTCGATTCTGTTCGTTGAAATAAAAATAACACCGTTATTAGCAGTTAAACTGTGTCTGGTATCCTCAAGGGTTCTTGAATCGCATCTTGGGGATTGAGACTGAATGCTATGCATACATGTGAGGCCAAGCAAAAAAAAATGTTCGTTTCCTTTCATTTGCAAACTTTATTAAATAGGAATTTGAACGAAGGCAAATGTTACTTTTCAAGGTCTGGGTTTTGGTTAAGTTACACGATTTTTACTAAAATAAAAATAAAAATAAAACAGTAATGAATGTTTTTTACCTGTTAACAACACATCATTAGAAATCATTAGCCAGAAAGAGACTTGACGTTTAGAGAAAAGACAACAAAGAAATTGACATTAGCCAAAAGAGAAGGGAAAAGATGTGTGGGGGGGGGGGTTTAAACTTTTCAAAGAGTTAATTTGACATTAACAAAAAAAATATATATAGAAAACAAGGGAAAGTAAAAAAATTAGAAAGGAAACATATATAATTTTTTATTTGGTCAAAGGTATGAATGCTAATTACAAAACAAAAGAGAATGAGTGCATCTGAAAAAAGGGTGAACTGTCGGGAATGTGTGCATCTGATGAGCTCCGATATAGCATGGACTTGGAAGAGTTTTGTAAGAGATACATGTAAAACAGATGTCATTTTGGCCTAGATATATTTACAATTCCCAATATTTGTAGAGTTCTAATCATGACGTAATTTCACTTTAGTATAAGTTGATTCATGTTGATGGTGCCAGGACTTAGCAGGGTATACACTCCATGGTCAATTCAGGTCCAATGAACATTTTCATTTAAGTTTTCATTACAGCATTTATTTTCAAAATTTATGTTAATTTTGGAAATTTTTCCTTATTTTTCTTAACATGACTTTCAAATTACCGTTTTTTCAATGGTAGAATTTTCCAAAAAATCTAAAGGCCTTTTTGAATATACTTTTTTCCAGTTGACCATAAAAGGACCACTGTTAAACCCTGTTATGCCACATGGAACAAATCCAGATTTATTCACAATTTTATTGATCATTTTCATATTGGTCATTATCACTTTTCTGTGGGTCAGTCACAGGTCATCTTTAGTATCATTTTCATGTTGGTCTGAATGTCCATCATTTTCCGTCACTAACCTGACCCTCTCCTCTGCTTACCACTTGACTTGTGTTTCATACAAGCATCATGCTGTTCCACCCTTCAGGATAAAATCTCTTGAATTTCATTGAATGGTTGGACCAATGTCATATTTGATATTAGAGTTTTGTTTAAAAACAAAAATAATAATAACTATTATTTAGTTTGTGTCATTGACTCCCCAGCTAGTCTGGTGATGTCTAGAGGCATCATCGATTCTCCGGCTGGCCTGGTGATGTCTAGAGGCATCCTTGACTATCTGGCTAGTCTGGTGATGTCTAGAGGCATCCTTGACTCCCCAGCTAGTCTGGTGATGTCTAGAGGCATCATTGACTCCCCAGCCGGTCTGAGGATGTCTAGAGGCATCATTGACTCCCCGGCTAGTCTGGTGATGTCTAGAGGCATCATTGACTCCCCAGCTAGTCTGGTGATGTCTAGAGGCATCCTTGACTCCCCAGATAGTCTGGTGATGTCTAGAGGCATCATTGACCTTCCAGCTGGTCTGGTGATGTCTAGAGGTATCATTGACTCCCCAGCTGGTCTGGTGATGTCTAGAGGCATCATTGACTCCCCGGCTGGTCTGGTGATGTCTAGAAGGCATTATTGACTCCCCAGGTGGTGTAGTGATGTCAAGAGCATCATTGACTCCCCAGGTGGTCTAGTGATGTCAAGAGGCATCAATGACTCCCCGGCTGGTCTGGTGTTGTCTAGAGGCATCATTTACTCTCCAGCTAGTCTAGTGATGTCTAGAGGCATCATTGACTCCCCGGCTGGTCTCGTGATGTCTAGAAGGCATCATTGACTCCCCAGGAGGTCTAGTGATGTCTAGAGGCATCATTGACTCCCCAGCTAGTCTGGTGATGTCTAGAGGCATCATTGACTCCCCAGATAGTCTAGTGATGTCTAGAGGCATCATTGACTCCCTGGCTGGTCTGGTGATGTCTAGAGGCATCAATGACTCCCTGGCTGGTCTGGTGATGTCTAGAAGCATCATTGACTCCCCAGATAGTCTGGTGATGTCTAGAGGCATCATTGACATTGACACCCCAGCTAGTCTGGTGATGTCTAGAGGCATTGACTCCCCAGCTAGTCTGGTGATGTCAAGAGACACCATTGACTGCACAGCTGGTCTAGTGATGTCTAGAGGCATCATTTTGCATTCAGCTCCCTACAGTAATGTTTAGCCCAAGCATGCCTTGTGTTGCCAGGGGACATCATCTAATACCTGGAGGCATCATTTGTCCCAGACTACCAGGTGATGCTTTGAGGCATCGTCAGGAATGCATAAAAAAACATTAGGCAACTTTAACTCAATAAGCAAAATGCTTTGTCCAGATTAGGCAAGTTTGGTGTTCACAATCAAATTTTGTTTGACCTACATATACACACAAGTTTGATCTTTTTATGAACCAAAATTTGTTATTATAAGTAAACACCATGTAGTGGTTGTCAGTAAGTAGTAGCGTACATGTATTTTTTCGACAATCAGTTTATCAAATTTCATCTGTGCTACTGGGATTATATTTTTATATCAAATGTTGTCATTTTGACAAAGATAATGTAGGTATTGAAGGTTAAAAAAAATATATGGAAACTACTTGCTTCAGCTTGTACCACACTCATTATACATGTTTCAAAAAAGGTGCATCTCTGCCAACGTCCTTCATACCCCCTCATTATCATACACACACACACACGTTTTCATGACATTTTGTTTAGTTTAGAAATTGCCATTCATATATCATGAATAACAGAATTGAATGGCCGAGCTTCATTTCAAGTGCCCAGATGACCGGCAATTGAACCATTATTGAAGAAACCATGACATTTGCTCTATATCGTGATCTTTGGATGAAGTAATAGTGTATATGTGTATTACATAGAGCTGACTTAATATCATACATGACTTTGTGACATCATATTACTCCAACTAACAGCATAACATTAGCTTTATCATTCTTTAATCTGTAGGCCAAGTATGAGATGAAGTGTTTTTTCATGAAAAAGTGGTAATTGCGACTAGATATGACAACATTATCTGTTTCAAACTTGTACAACAGTGACAATGTTATTCTGATTCTTAAAAACTAAACAAATTGAAGATGTTTGGTTAGGAGGGAAACATATTTTTAATTGGCCTAATTTTTCATCATTATTATTTGATGACCAATGCTTAGTATGCAGAGAATTTTTTATAAGGCCCCAAGTTGTCATTTACTCATTAACTTCTTTCATTCTCATTTCTCATACTTATCATGCTTGCTTTAAGGGTGTATGCTACCTTACTGTGACTTGAGTCTCTTTTTCAAGAGAGTTCTACACAAAGAAAATTGTCGAATATTTTACATTTTTAGGTCACCTGAGCTTTAGCTCAAGTGACCTATTGCTATCCGTTTTCGTCCGTCGTCGTCCGTCGTCCGTCGTCCGTCGTACGTCGTCCGTCGTCCNTTGGAATCTATTTTATTACTATATATATATCAAATTACACAAGAATGCTGCCTTTTCTAAATAGCAATGAAATGCTGAATTAAAATATATCAAAGGGAGATAACTCTAACACTAATCATTATTGTGTAATGTGGCATATAACCTTAAGTTTATGTTGTTTATCCTCCATCACATAATCATGATCATTACTCTGTATTTCTTATCATAATGAATTTTAGAATGTTGTAACCTTTCAGATAATTGGAGCAGATAGATTAAAGAGGATTTAAATAATATTAAAATAATTTTCAATTATTTGACTGTTCACTAGAAAAATATTTTGTGATATTTTAGCCTTCAAACTCGAGTATAAACAGAATGGAGGCAGGTGCCAACAATTTTGCCACGATCCGGACGACCCATCTCGTCACGAAACAGATGAAGGATCACGAACATGCTAATGATATGAAGGAACAGTTCACGGGCTACAAGCGAATGAGAAAGACTCACCAGAAACAACTGCAACAGGTAAAGAATTACGACACTGAACCTACAAGGGGCAGAAAGAGCAAGAAAATCATTGTACAATTTAATTTGCAATTTGGGTATTGATGAAGTTGAAAATTGTTCTCAGAAAAATTATCAGAGGTTGATTGACTCATTCACCTCTGAAATTTCATAATGGACTATTCCAACCTTTGAACTGGAAGGGTTCAAATGTGTCTTCAGGGGTGAATGAGTTAACAAAATATGGGAATTGGGTAGATTTTTCCCGTGATGGAAAACCATGTAAGATAAATCTATTGAGCATGATGTCACAATGCAAAGACAACGAGATGACATCGTATAGCAGCAAGTTTGACATCATTTACTCGCTTTTGATGAGTCTTGTTTAGGATTTAATGAATTTATATTTATTAATTGCCATCTTATCTATGATTTGAAGTAAATACCTTCAGAGTAAACCAAACTGTGATGTGCTCTTTGCAGCGGTATAGAAAATTAAAGTATTTAATCCTTTCACCACTGTAGACCATAATGGACTCATCCAGATCAAAACATGGAAGAGTTTACTAAAGTTACAAACGGGTGAAAGGGTTAAAAAGTTGCAACAAGACGGTGGTTTGCAACCTCAATAAAATGAAATGGTAAGCAATTAAACTCTACCATATATGAGTTTTTAGGATATTTATACCCATATTTAAAATACATAATTTGAATTAAAAACCCGTGACAAGCCCTGGTTTTTGCCCCAAACTCTGTACCCTCGGATGGGACATTTCCATCCCACATACATTCATATGTAGTGGAACAGGACTGGGTTGATCGTTGGCGACCACACATTTCAATCGCTAGAGACCAACTGGAGTTCGGAAGGTCCTGGGTTTGAATCCAGGTGTAGCCATGCATTTTTCAGCTCCTAGTGAACATATAACAGAGTCTATAAGGAAATGTGCTTCTAATTGCATGCTCATATATTAGCGCTCAAGCGTACGTTTACATCAGGGGTATCAGTGCAGTCATTCAAGACCTATCCTTGACTCATGAGCAAACGTATTTCAGGAAACACAAATTTCTACAGTTTTATACTACATATATATTATATTAAAAAGAGTAAATGACTTTCAATGCATCCTGTACATTATTAAATACATTTGACACTTTGATTTCAGCAATGAACTGATACTATTGATTAATGAATTTGTAATCGAAAATTAGAATTTGAAAGAGCGAAGCGTCGCACCAGTGATGATGCAAGAAGTGTAAACTGACCCTTGGTGTCTGTGTGTTTCTTACAGAACGAGACGAAGTTCCAGACGGAGATGGAGGAACACAAACAGAGACTTGATAAGGAGTACGACAACCTGCGACAGAAGTTCCTTGTGGAGATGGAGAAGATCCGTAAGATGCAGTCTTCAGACCAGGAGAAGATGGTGAGTTCACGCAACAACTGGTTTGGTTTGTTGGTGTTTTACGTCCTGTTAACAGCTATTGTCATTTAAGGACGTGCCAGGTTTTGGTAGTGGAGGAGAGCCGGAGTTTCCAGAGAAAAACCACCGACCTACGGCCAGTACCTGGCGACTACCCCACGTAGGTCTCGTACCCGCGACCCAGTGCACGTGGTGAAGGGCTAGAGGTAGCAGTCAGACGCCTTAACCACTTGGCCCCCACGGCCCCCACGCAACAAGACAGGGCTAATTTTTGTGTCACACGAACCCTTCCCCCTTTCACAGATTTCAATTTATAATCTTTTATTGTCAAAGAATCCTATACATAGTCTCTTACCATGGTCATACTTGTCAACCCTCCCTATTTAGGAGGGAGACTCCAGATTGTGGACCCTAAAATTTGGTATTTTCAACCAGTGAATTTACTAAACTATTCCTATTTTCTAAGATCTAATGATTTCATCTGAAAGAACAGCTCATATTTTGTCATTTTAAAGGGTTATTTTGTTTCTAGGGGGGGGGGGGGGGGGGGTATACACAAATTTTATTAATGTTTTAATTTTTTTAGCATGCAAAATCTCCCAAATGGATTTTTTTTTTTATAGTTGGCAAGTATGCCATCACTTATTCCACCTGTGATTTTTTTGGTGACAGTGGCGGAAATAACGTGACATGAAGTGAAATCCATATCAAAACAAGTGATAATAACCGGCATTGATTAACATAGATTATATAGCAGGAAAAATGGTGCATCAGGAAAACATGATATTAACCGAAAAGAGACATTAAGTGATGTGATATTAAGTGATGTGATATTAAGAGAAAAATACTGTATTGATTGTTTCCCTTTCTATAAATATGTTATTGAATTTTCTTCCTAATCTTAGACACGCAATAATCTGGGCTTGGAGAAGAAACTGATAAAACAAATATCAACATCACATGACACTGAGAAAAAGACGTTCTCAACTATGCAGAAAAAGGAGTATAAAGTCAATAAGGAACAAATGAAAAAGGTAAGTAACTGGTTGATTGTTTGAGTGGTTTTACGTCCGCCTCACTACCGAGTAGTTCGGTGATCCAGTAGATGATATGAGTGACTGGTTGTTTGTTACATACAAGTTGTGTGGTGTACTCCTGTGGCTATTGGGGCTGATACATACATGTTGTGTGGTGTATTTCTGTGGCTATTGGGGCTGATACATACATGTTATGTGGTGTACTTCTGTGGCTATTGGGGGTGATACATACATGTTGTGTGGTGTACTTATGTTGCTATTGGGGCTGATACATACATGTTGTCTGGTGTACTTCTGTGGCTATTGGGGCTGATACATACATGTTGTGTTGTGTACTTCTGTGGCTTTTGGGGCTGATACATACATGTTGTGTGGTGTACTTCTGTGGCTATTGGAGCTGATACATACAAGTTGTGTGGTGTACTTCTGTGGCTATTGGGGCTGATACATACATGTTGTGTGGTGTACTTCTGTGGCTACTGGGGCTGATACATACATGTTGTGTGGTGTACTTCTGTGGCCAATGGGGGCTGATACATACATGTTGTGTGGTGTACTTCTGTGGCTATTGGGGCTGATACATACAAGTTGTGTGGTGTACTTCTGTAGCTGTTGGGATTGATACATACAAGTTATGTGGTGTACTTCTGTGGCTATTGGGGCTGATACATACATGTTGTGTTGTGTACTTCTGTGGCTTTTGGGGCTGATACATACATGTTGTGTGGTGTACTTCTGTGGCTATTTGGGCTGGTACATACATGTTGTGTGGTGTACTTCTGTGGCTATTGGGGCTGATACATACATGTTGTGTGGTGGACTTCTGTGGCTATTTGGGCTGGTACATACATGTTGTGTGGTGTACCTCTGTGGCTATTGGGGCTGATACATACAAGTTGTGTGGTGTACTTCTGTGGCTATTTGGGCTGGTATATACATGTTGTCTGGTGGACTTCTGTGGCTATTTGGGCTGATACATACATGTTTTGTGATGTACTTCAGTGGATATCGGGGCTGATACATACATGTTGTGTGATGTACTTCAGTGGATATTGGGGCTGATACATACATGTTGTCTGGTGGACTTCTGTGGCTATTGGGGCTGATACATACATGTTGTGTGATGTTTTTCAGTGGATATTGGGGCTGATACATACATGTTGTGTGGTGTACTTCTGTGACTATTGGCGCTGATACATACATGTTGTGTGGTGTACTTCTGTAGCTGTTTGGGCTGATACATACATGTTGTGTGGTGTACTTCTGTGGCTATTGGGGCTGATACATACAAGTTGTGTGGTGTACTTCTGTAGCTGTTTGGGCTGATACATACATGTTGTGTGGTGTACTTCTGTAGCTATTGGGGCTGATACATACATGTTGTATGGTGGACTTCTGTGGCTATTGGGGCTGATACATACATGTTATGTGGTGTACTTCTCTGGCTATTGGGGCTGATACATACAAGTTGTGTGGTGTATTTCTGTGGCTATTGGGGCTGATACATACATGTTGTGTTGTGTACTTCTGTGGCTATTGGGGCTGATACATACATGTTATGTGGTGTACTTCTGTGGCTATTGGGGCTGATACATACATGTTGTGTGGTGTACTTCTGTGGCTATTGGGGCTGGTACATACAAGTTATGTGGTGTATTTCTGTAGCTATTGGGGCTGATACATACATGTTGTGTGGTGTACTTCTGTGGCTATTGGGGCTGGTACATACAAGTTGTGTGGTGTACTTCTGTGGCTATTGGGGCTGATACATACAAGTTGTGCGGTGTACTTCTGTGGCTATTGGGGCTGATACATACATGTTGTGTTGTGTACTTCTGTGGCTATTGGGGCTGATACATACAAGTTGTGTGGTGTGCTTCTGTGGCTATTGGGGCTGATACATACATGTCGTGTGGTGTACTTCCGTGGCTATTGGGGCTGATACATACAAGTTGTGTTGTGTACTTCTGTGGCTATTGGGGCTGATACGGCTGATACATACATGTTGTGTGGTGTACTTCTGTGACTATTGGGGCTGATACATACATGTTGTGTGGTGTACTTCTGTGGCTTTTGGGGCTCGTACATACAAATTGTGTGGTGTACTTCTGTGGCTATTGGGGCTGATACATACATGTTGTGTGGTGTACTTCCGTGGCTATTGGGGCTGATACATTGTTATAAAATTATAAGAAAAGCTAATTTCAACTTGTTCACCCCTGGAGGCACATTTAACTCTTCCAATTCAAAGGTTGAAACAGTTCATTATGAAATTTCAGGAGTGAATTAGATTAAAGAAAGGTTTTTTGATTGACAGGAGATTGACGGCAGCACACCAAAGAAGGAGAGAGATGACATGGTGCGGACTCACAAAGACCGCCTCCTTCAGCGTCAGAAGGAGGCGGAGGGTGGGCTCGAAAAGCGACACAAAGACTCCATGGAATTTGAAATTCGCAAGTTCAGGCGGCGAAAACTTGTACAATATCATCAAAAGGAGGAGGAACATTTAGCAGAGGTTTGTTGCTTGAAGCAGTATACTTCAAATAGTAGAAACTGAACAACCATCTGGACTTGTCTTGCTTGCCATTCTGCAACTGGCAGTCACTCCTCTTCTCCACAATGTTACGCCTATTTGTTGGTAGTTTCAAAATGAAAAAGTAACCATCCAGGTCTAACAATTGTTATTGTTTGTAGGTTTCAGGCATAAATGCCAATTTAGATATCGCAACAACAAAAATGTATTGATCAGATCTACTAACTTAAGTATAGGAAGGTAGTATAGAGTTATAGTTTAAACAATGGCACTGGAGAGGTAAAGTTTCAATAACAATAAGGAAAAGCTCTTACTTTCTGATGAAAACTGTGGATACTATGGTGTATTTAGAATATTTGTTCAAGTGCATGACATGTGATGCTATTCTGGTCCAGACATTTTAACCAACTAGAAAATGATGTGATACTGCTGTTGGAAGGACAAATTTGACATAAAATGGAAATGTTTCTACATTTCTTTACTGATTGCAAACTGTTTCTATGAAGTACTGATTGTATACTGTTTCTATGAAGTACTGATTGTATACTGTTTCTACGAAGTACTGATTGTATACTGTTTCTATGAAGTACTGGTTGTATACTGTTTCTATGAAGTTCTGATTGTATACTGTTTCTATGAAGTACTGATTGTATACTGTTTCTATGAAGTACTGATTGTATACTGTTTCTGTGGCAGGAGCTGAGTAAGCGGCAGGCTCAGCTTGAGATGGAGCATGCCATGCTGCTACGCCACCACAGCGGCACTCAGGATCTGGAGTACCGCCAGCTCCAGACGCTACAGAAGCTGCGCGACGACCACCTCAAAAAGCAGCATCTGACGGAGCATGACAATCAGAGAGAGTATAACGCACTCGAAGAGCAGAACCTCCGCAAGAAACATCTGTTGGAACACAAGCAGCAGCCCCGCAGTCTTAAGGTAAGATCGATTATCTCCCCTTGACTATCAATCTTCAGCATACTTTTAAAGATGACGTATACTTTAGGAAGTAAATATAGGATCTGACTTTATTTCTTATCATTGTTAGGAATGTTACCATATTTATCCTGCAATAAGCTAAAGGGGTGCACATACAAACTTTGAAAGTGAAGGGCAGACTTATTTTAGGACAATAAAATGATATTTGTTGGGGTGGACCAGAATCAGTTTGTCTGTCCCTCTGTCTGTAGACAAACTTTGTCTATTTCTCCTCAAGAACTGAATTAAGCTTTTTAAACTTTAATAAGTTTTAAGTTATTTGTTAAATTTTCATTTCTGCACTGTTTTTGCGGAGTTATGCTACTTTTCGTAACATGTCCATATTACTTCTCATAAAGTAATCCGTACATTTCAATTATGAAATTGATCAGTATACAAGGTCAAGAAGATTGTAAATTATGCAGGTTATATTTCATTATGTCTCCCCTTCGAATGCAGGGAGACATATTGTATTAGTACTCTGCTTCTGAATCAGTGTGCAGTGCACTGAAAGTATGTCTCGTACTTTACTATATAGAGAGTTATGGCCCTTTGTTTAATTTTAATACATGTGTACCGAAGTTTGTCCGGAGCATAAGTTCCATGTTATTTCACCAACGTTGACCAAACTTACCATATTTATGTATCTTGGGTAGGCGGAATCTCAATACCAAAGCTTAATACCAAAGTTTGTACACAGCATAACTTCTTAACCATTAAAGATATCTTAATCAAAACTTGAAATATACCTGCATCACCCACAGAAGGTGTGCAGTGCACTGGAACTAGGTCTCGTGCCCCACCATATACAGAGTTATGGCCCTTTGTTTATTAAAGTTTGTCCGAAGCATAAGTTTCATGTTATTTTACCTACGTTGACCAATCTTACCATATTTATGTATCTTGTGAAGGTGGAATCTCTCGCACTAAAATCAGGTTTTATGCCCCACTATATACAGAGTTATGGCCCTTTGTTTATTTTTGATACCGAAGTTTGTCCACGGCATAACTTCCATGTTATTTCACCTACGTTGACCAAATTTGCTATGGTTTTAATGTATCTTGGGGAGTAGGAGTGTTGTATTCTAAATGCGGGTCTCGTGCCCCGCTATTTAAAGACACATGGCCCTGTGTTGATTTTTTTATACAGAAGTTTGTCTAGTTTTAAATGGTATTTTTTGGTCTAATAAAACCAAATGAGGCCTTAATAAAGGACAGGGAGAGGTATGTTAGCCCTGTAACCTGAAGTTCTAGTTTGACCAGGTGTGTGTAATAGAAGCATCAGAGGTGACAAACTCAGTGCAATGGTTTCATTCTGTAGCAAAAGGAGGTGCTGATACGGAAGCAGTTCCACGAGGCGGTACAGACGCAGCGGCGACAGTACAAGGCACTCAAAGAACACATACTGCAAAACACGCCTAAAAACGAACAGAAGGCCGTCGTCAAGAAACTCAAGGAGGAGCAGGTCCGCAAACTAAACATCCTCGGGGAGCAGTACGAGGCCAGTATAGCCGAGATGCTTCAGCAGCAAAATGTGAGTACCCTGCTGTCACCCCTATGTATCTTGAGTAGACTCGACCATGCATTGACATGGATGAGTTCATTATGGTCTACAGTGGTGAAAGGGTTAAGTAGCTTTTAGAAGATCAATATTTCATGGTGAGCATGACCTTCTTCAAGTGCCCTGCCATACAATATTTGGTGTTTCTTGTAACCCTACCTGCCCTAGTTTTTTGTGCCTACCCATCAATTTTTAAGGCAATTTTCAAAGAAGCAGTGTTAAGTCCAGACCACTCTCCTATATAAACCATATAGAATTATTTGTTAGTATAAGATTAGCCTAAACTTTTCCAACATGTTACGGAATTATTTTTTTTAAATTTATTTTGGCCTTAGGGTTCCGATTGGTTCAAGTCACTTTCTTCAACTCATGTGTGCTGCCAATTTCTTTTGATGACACCTGGGTCCCGATTTGAAATTGTATTGCCTTTTATTGGAAAAGCCTGAAAATAATCCTATACCACTTGACTTGATGTGTGATGTTTTAGATGCGGCTGGACGACTCGCAGGAGATGGAGGCCCAACAACTCAAACAACGACTGCAACAAGAGCTGGAACTGCTGATGGCCTACCAGAGTAAGATCAAAATGCAGACTGAGGCCCAGCACCAGCGAGAGAGACGACAGCTCGAGGAGCGCGTATCTCTCCGGCGCGCCCTTCTAGAACAAAAGGTAGGCTGGCGAAAAGTGTCCAACTTGAAATACGCTTAAGGATTAACTTGAATATATTTTTCATGTTATGGAGATATAACACAAAAAAACAGAGTGTACTCTAAACAAACCGCAAAGCGGTTTATGATGAGAGTACACTCTGGATTTTTTGTGTTATATCTCAAATATCTTATACTTTGTGAAACGTGTCCAACTTGAAAAACGCTTAAGGATTAACTTGAATATATTTTTCATGTTATGGAGATATAACACAAAAAAACGGAGTGTACTCTAAATAAACCGCAAAGCGGTTTATGATGAGAGTACACTCTGGATTTTTTGTGTTATAGCTCCATAACATGAAAAATACATTCAAGTTAATCCTTATAATTTAATCTACTATACACAATCCCTGTGGAAATCCACTTGTATTGATGGATGCTTTTCTCTTAGAAATTATTGCGCTGCAGTATCAGCCAAACAAAAGCGACGTTACAAACGACGATGTCATTTTTAGCTCACCTGGCACAAAGTGCCAAGTGAGCTTATGCCTTGGCGCGGCGTCCGTTCGTCCGTCCGACGTCAATATTTTACTTTAAACGACTTCTTCTTAATAACCGAAAGGCCTAGGGTGTGGATATTTGGCTAGAAGCAAACTGGGATAGAGGGCTACAAAGTTTGTTAAAATTAATGACCTTCACCCATTTTCAAGGTCACAGGGGTCAAATATGTTAAAAACTTTAAACATCTTCTTCTCGATAACCAAACTTCCCAGGGAGATGATATTTGGCCAGTAGCATGCTTGGATAAAGGGCTACAAAGTTTGTTCAAATGAATGACCTTCAATTATATTCAAGGTCACAGGGGTCAATTGTCTTAAAAAAACTTTTAAACAACTTCTTCTGAATAACCAAAATGCCCAGGGTGATTATATTTGGCCAGTAGCATGCTGAGATGAAGGGCTACAAAGTTTGTTCAAATCAATGACCTTCACCCATATTCAAGGTCACAGGGGTCAAATATGTTAAAAACATTAAACAACTTCTTCTGAATAACCAAAATGCCCAGGGTGATGATATTTAGTCAGTAGCATACTAGGATCAAGGGCTACCAAGTTTGTTTAAATGTATGACCTTGAATCATATTCAAGGTCACAAGGAGCAAATATGTTCAAAATATTTAAACAACTTGTTCTGAATAACCAAAAGGCTCAGGATGTTGATATTTAGTCAGATCAAGGACTACTATGTTTGTTAAAGTGAATGACTTTGACTTATATTCAAGGTCACAGGGGTCAAATTTGTTTAAAATCTTTAAACGACCTCTTCTGAATAACCATGGGTCCCAGGATGTTGATACTTTGCAAGTTGCATACTGAGATGAAAGGCTATACAATTTGTTCAACATAATGACTTTGTTCGACTTTCAAAGTAACAGGGGTGAAATGTTTTAAAATCTTTTAACAGGTTCTTTTGAATGACTTTAATCATGAATACTGATATTTTGCCTGTAGCTTTATTTTAGATCACTTTTAAGGTTGCAAGTGTGAGATTTATACCAGGTGAGCGATGCAGGCCCATTGGGCCTCTTGTTTACGTTATGGGCTGATAACATAAATTTTTAAGCCAATGAAAATGCTTGTTACAAGCAAGATTAAATTATTACTGTATAACATGAAATGTTTGTTGTGTATAAACATTCGTGCTTTTCGTGGTTGCTATTGAACCTCGAAAATAAAAACAAACAAATTGGAATGATATATGTGTCTAATGTTTGTACCACGAAACGATCTAAATTGGCTTCAAACCACGAAGGTAAGTATCCACAAACATTTTGTGTTAAACAGTAATGAAATGAGGGGCACTATATCAAGGTTTTACTGTACGTATGCTGGGGGGAAAAGATGCTTCTTTTCAAAATGCAAAATGGGAGTGAGAAATTAATTTCCTTAACTCCTTCAGCCCTAAAGACACATTTGAACTCTTCAAGTTCAAAGGTTGGAATAGTTCATTATGAAAATTCAGGGGTGAATGAGTTTATGATGGCTATTCAAATATTATTCCAGTGAAATGGTTTTGATGAAATTACACTTGATTGAATAAAACAGATTATAAAGTGAAGTAAATTATAAAAACAAAGATTTTCAAATGTTTACCAACATTTCTAATGTTCTTTCTAGATGGATGATGAGAGGAGCAAATTGATAGCAGAAAGGAAAGATAAAATTCATAGTTCAAAAACGCGACAGGAACGTGACCTGGAAGATTTTGACCACGAGACCAGCGATATGGGGATGAGTCCGGTGGAGGTGGCCCAGGCGTCGCTGGACGCGACGTATAATGACGATGTGTCAAGTTTACGTGGTAGCATGATCAGTCTGACGGCCAGTAGCAGTAGCTTCTCATTCTCCTCACAGACATAAGTATACACTCCCACCATGTGATTGTATATCCACCCGGGGTAGAAACTCCGGGTCTATAGATGTCAAGCTCCCAAGGTGTAACGGCACGGCCGATCGAGGAGTCATCCTTCACTCAACACCCCTAGAGAGTGTCCTGTCCACGTGACGTACACTCTCCTAGTCTGTGGTGTTGATTATCTTAATGGTCGACCTGCCACTCCATGGATGTGATTTTGGACGTCTTGGCTCCTTGGATGTGGTCGCCTGTTCAGTGCGGACACCTGCATGAGTGTGCAGTGCCCGACAAGGAAGCTTGGCAACCGGGAGTGATGAACGTGCTGGCCCCTAATTGGGACATTAAGGGCCGAGGGGATCAGTGTTGCCCCTTGACGGGTTTATTTCAGCCCCTTAAATGGCCTGGTTTGGCCCCCTAGACTATATAGGGAACTTTGCAACCTACTTGGACCGTGTGACAGACAGCATTGGATGTGATATAAGGATGTGAGGGTGTCGTGTTTTTACCGATATATATATATATATAAATATTAATTCTCGGGGCGACCGCATGGCCAGTTATCTCCACACAGCCTGTGGACTTACTATAACAGACGCTCAGACATCTGTCATGACTTGGTCACACTAGCCACTAATCCAGTACTAGCTTACTCCAACAATTTACTACTGTAGTTCGTAAGTACAGGTCCGGCCCCCGTACTAGAGCTGTAGGCTTGTCATCTTGCACTTAGGGATTGGGGATTGGGGTTGGCGGGTTTGGGGGAAAAACTGTGTATATTTGCCCCGTAACCGGCTCTCTGATGGGGGAAGGGGTAGAGGTAGGGGGGCAGAAATCCTGTGATCATCCAGTGTCCACTCTCAGCTGGTTGATGCATACCGAACATAATAAACTTGTACTTATCAGCAATATTTTTTACACCAAAATTATTACTGGGACCTGGTGAGTCAGTCAGATACTCCGGTCTAAATCATCCTTATTGTGTCCTGTAGACCCTTCTGTCTTGTGTTCAGTGGACAATGCCACTGCAAAATATAGGGGAGGACAGGCACAAGACATCTTAACACTAATAATTTTTGGTATCTCGAAAATAAACTTCATGAGCCATGTGCATTATAACCCTGTTCTTTAACTTTTATGTATTTTTTTGGTCATTGTAAGCTGACTATTCTTTTTTTGGTGTCAATGGTGCTGAAGTATTTGCACTGCAGTGCATTGTTCAAAGTATGGTCAACTTCATTCTTATGTTTCAATTTTGGTTCTCAAATAGATAGGGTAGATAGGCAGGCAATTTCATTCTTATTTCATAAAATACTCTTTTTCAAAGGTTATTCAGAATTGGCATTTCAGAATTTCTTCAGAGCTGGTTTAAACTTAGGCAAAAAATAAAATAAAAAAATGAAATATTTTAAATCTCAAAATTGTGCACACTTCAAATTCTTCTTCTAAATAAGACATATGTTTATATGTATTTATTTGTTGAAAATGTTTCCCATTCAAATATGTCTTGACAAATATAACCTAACACTCGGGACTTTAACGTAGAAACATCGCACATACTACGACAGTCAAGGAATCCATTTGTACTGATTGTCAGAGACTACAGTCAACTGCGATCATGCTCTTAGCATAAGTTTGGAAAATTTTGTGTATATCAGTTTGGTTTTTCTTAACGGAAACCAAATAGAGCAGTTATGACCCCAGCCTATTGTATGATGTGGATTGTAGATGTAGTCGTGGTGGCCGCTGCCCGGACAACATTTGACCGAGATAGGGCCACGTTATCCTGCACACATCGTTCAGGTCCCAATTTAGTTTCTGACGTAAATACATAATCTTCACTTTATTTCATGAAAATAATATTATTAATATTATTGGCGGAGCATACTAAAAACTCAATGATTATATATAGATTCTATAACCCCCAAATGTTGATAGTAAAAGTCTTAACTTTGTCCTGGAAAATAAGAACTGATGAAGTTATTGACAGAAAAAATGTAAAAAAATAAAATGATTTTAGATTCTGTCTCCCCTTGATGTATGAAGGGAACAAAATTGCAAACAAAATTCAGTTGATAATTACATTCAACTGTGGTAGATTCGCCAGTAAATTAAATGTGTTATTTTTATTCTTTTATCCATGTTTTAAAATATGATGATCAATTTGATGGTTAAGAAATTTTTATTTAGTAGTTATTTTGGTTTTCAGTTGAGAAATATATGTGAGATTTTGTTTTTAGTTCAAACAAGTTTCAAATTAATTACAATGTAGTCAGCCTGTATACCTATAGGGCATTATTGTAGAACAAATATTTTCTCATGTTTTATTTTTTTTGTATTGAACAAATACTCTACAGATCAATCAAAAGTTTGCCACCTTTTCCCAAGTTTTCCAGAGTTCTTTACCCTTTCACCACTGTAGACCAAAATGGACTCATCCTGATCAATGCATGGTAGAGTCTACTAAAGTTACATAGGGGTGAAAGGATTAAGCAATAAGCTTTTTGATAAATTTTGAAGTTGGCCATATATTGTGACTCTAGCAATAGTGATGCTGATATCCCGTCATTTAAATGTACATAAAATCAATCTCTTTTACAAAATACATATAAGAGACACGGTAATATTTACTTAATCCGGACAGCAGTAATCGTGAAAACTAACTTCCAATGCTTAAAAACAGAAACTGAATTACATTTCTCTTACAACACATCTTCTTTCAATTTGAAAATGAGTTATTCCAGGCTTTTTTTGAGGAATGGAAAGTGTCCAGACTGACAAGAAATTCATTGTAGCTGAACTTTTGATACGAGGAGGTGTTGGGTATCATAAATGTCAGGATCGGTAAACTCGCCAAACCAACCTGACAGAAGTTATAAAAATGAATTTGCAAGTGAAGAAAGTTTCTGAAGACGCTATTAAATCAGATAACTTGACAGCTACCAAAAAATTAGGTATTTTATACACAGGGACCTAATTAATTGCTACACTGATCAAGAAATTGTATATCTGTATAATATAACTCCTGTAAGTTGTTCAATTAAATATGATTGATATCTGTGACATTTCAGGCCCCTGTGTATGTCTATAATATACTGTGATTCTCCTAGCCGTTCAATTAAACATTATTGATATCTATGACATTTCAGGCCCCTGTGTATGTCTATAATATACTGTAATTCTCCTAGCTGTTCAATTAAACATCATTGACATTTGTGACATTTCAGGCCCCTGTGTATTTTTCTGGTTCTAGCTGTTTACAGGTGTAAACCCTACTCACACGATATTGTCATTTAGTTTGTAAATTTTGGTTTCTGTTTTGATTCTACCTCTTATGTTAACATTTTTCATAATTTTATTTAAGGTAAATATAACTCATTACACATACCGTATCGATCCGTCAGTAAGCCCACGCCTGTTAATGAGCCGACCCATATCTACTGGGGTTCAATGAAATGAGAATTATCACTTCATCGCCCTGTATTTACCCCTTCACCCCTGAAGACACATTTGAACTCTTCCTGTTCAAAGGTTGGATTAGTTCATAATAATGAATAATGAAATTCCAGGGGTGAATGATTTAGGCGCCTGGGCTTATTGCATGATAAATGTGGTATACAGGTAGCACACTCATTTGTATATAAACAAGTTCATTTTCATTGACGAAGGTCCGATTGACAGGGTGCACATTGACGCTGTATAATTAAGCTGTATACTGAATGTTGGATTATGCAGGTGGCTGAATATTCAGGGGTCAGAGTAGACTGATTTCGTTTTTTCTGCGTTTCTGTTGTGAGGCCTTAAAACCCCTTACGAACGAACAAACTGCGTCCCAGTAAACAGTGCCGTGAAACACTATGGACGAATGCCATGAAAGGCTTCTACGATTGTGTTTGAATTCGCGACCATTGGTCTAATCAGTCATATGGGACATACGCGTTGTTACCTCCCTTATATTCTCAGTAATCAGGTCATCTTGCCCTCTTCATCCTATTTCTCTTCTTTCCATCCACATTCAGACCGACGGACAAACATGTATTATGCTACAAGTTTAAACCTGCGAGAGAGATTTCAGAATAAGTCTCCTTAGACCAAAGAACAATTATTTTGTGTATCCATTAATCCTACCTACCCTTATTTGTGTGCCTACCATAACTCTTTTTTGGCAGTTTTCAATGAAGCATTGTTAAAGCCAAAATCACACTCCTATAAAAACTATATGAAAGTATTTAATAAAAAAATTTTAGTTTGGCCGTATTTTTTCTGAAGAAATGAGGTTATATTATACTCTTCATTATCTGAAGCTATACTTATTGATGTCCTTAAACTTTGGTTCTGACCATGCCAAGTGTTAAATTGAGATTTATTAATGACAAGCCATGTACATGTACTTCAGTCCTATCTCGCTGGAGAGTAACAACTGAAATATGTTTTATGTAACAAGCTATGAATGAGTATCCCCCTTTTCTGGAATAGACTATTGATTATATGTATAAGTGTGAAGTCCCACAGTGAAACCTGTCCAATACGACCTCCTTTAGGACACTACGTATTGGTCAGACTGGACAGGGTGTTGGACTACACTGATTATATTCGGACACTTTCAAAATAATTGAAATAACAGCATTATGTCAGATTAGTCAAGATGTTCGAATATTCAGTGGCCAGATTAGACAGATTTCACTGTATAGAGGCCTATTGATTGTAAGGGGCAGATAACTCTAGACATCTGTTCACTTAACTGACCTTTACAGAAAACGAATGGTGCAGTAAGTGACGAACAAGTTAGAAATCTTTTTGAGATCTATAAGCAAGTGTGTATCATTTAGGTGAAGTGGAAAACGAATGTGAAAATCCATTTAACTGCTGCCATTGCTTTTGTAACATATCAACTGAATATTTATTTGGTTACTGTAAAAGTCTTGTTTTTTGCATGGTCCACAATTTTTGTGGATTTCATTAAAAGGTAATTTTTGACGTATCTTTTTTTCCCCCGCAAATTGCAGGTCTATTAATTAGCCATGACACAAAGTGCTACGGGGAGAATGGATTCATTGATATCCTATTAGCTTCATGGGGTGTGGGGTTTTTTTGCAGAAAAATGTCCACTTAGAAAAACGTGAAAATAAGAGCCCTGCGAAAAAACCCACTTTGACGGTATGTTTCCTGTTGTCATGGTGATAAAGCTGCCATTTATAACTGCATACAACTATCACTTATATTTACATTGAAATAATTATGTAAGCCCTGTACAAACCAAGTCATTAGTAGAATATCCTATGGTAAGCGGGTGTGTTATATAAGGTTGAGGGTTGCCATGGTTTTAACAGACCCTGTGTGTATGTGGCGGTGGCCGTGTAAATGTTGACCAAGGTGGGAGGCAACAGGCAGGACAATCTCGTACGATCTGTTGCTTCAATAACAGCTTTTCATTTATCACTACATATTGTATCCACTAATTAATGATTTCAACCATACATCAGGGATTCTGTGAAAAATTGCAGGAAAAACCTGTACATACAGGCTGACCTGATGTACACGGTCTCTGACAGTATGTCGATGAAGCCTCTCATATCCGACACTGAGTGTCGGTCAGATTAGACAGGTGTCACAATACATTGGTCTTATTTGAAATGGATCACAGCATTATGTTAGATTAGCTTTGATGCTGGAATACTCAGGGGTTGGATTACACAGGATGTCAGACCACTAGTTGGTAAAGACATGATGACTGAACACTGGGGGGGGGGGGGGGGGGGNAATACAAGGTGGTCGGATTAGACAGAATGATTGACCACTTGGGGTCAGATTAGACAGGATATCGGAACACTAGGTGGTCAGATAAGACAGGATGTCTGAATACTCCGGGTCGGATCAGATAGGTTTCATTTTTACCTATATATAGTATCTGCCCGTTTACAGATGCTAACTGGCGATAAGTTGACCTATATCATGGTCAGACTTTGGTTAAAGTCTACTCCCACAGAACTGGTAGAGCATTCTTCATTGTGTGTAGGCCCCGACGGTAGGGATTTTATGAAGATGACCTGTTTGCCAACTTTTAACACATGTGTATGTAATATGAGACGTATAGACTAGATATTTAACTCTCGTGATCGAATGTATTTTCATTGAATAATATACATTGGTAATATTAATGATAATAATAACAATAAAACCCATTATGAAATGTTGCTGTGTTGTGCTGTTCGTTTCTGTTTTATAACAAGGTGTAGGGCGGTACTGGTTTGTCCCGGCTATTATCCACCTTCCTCTCTTCCTCCATCATTGTCGGTAGTCTGTTTGACGGACTGTTTTATAACAGGGTGTGTGGTGGTGCTGGTTTGTCCCAGCTATTATCCACCTTCCTCCATCATTGTCGGTCGTCTGTTTGACGGACTGTTTTGCCATGTTTGACACCTTCAGAACCACTAATACGATTGACTTTAAACTTAGGCTCTTACAAATTTAATATCTTGGTAAAGTGTTGTTACTTTTTGTGCGGAACCAAAATTCCAAGATGGCTACCATTGCCTCTGATTTGGCCCATCCTACTCCCTTATTGGTAAGATATTTTCAACTTCTCTATAATTATGTCTCCCCTTGGAATGAAGGGAGACATATTGTATTAGTACTGGTTCTTCTAGTCGCAACTTGTCTGAGCCATAATTTTTAAACCGTTAAAGATATCTCCATGAAACTTTAGGTATGCATGCATCACCAACAGAAGGTGTGCAGTGCACTGGAATTATTTTAGTCACTGTGACCTTCCCCTCAAGGTCAAAGGTCAAATAAGTGCAACATTTTCAGTCCACAGAAGGTATGCTTCACTATATACAGAGTTAAGGCCCTTTGTTTAATTTTAATACCGAAGTTTCTCCGGAGCAAAGGTTCCATGTTATTTCACCTACGTTGACCAAACTTATCATATTAATGTATCTTGGAAAGGTTGAATCTCTCGCATTAAAATCAGGTTTTGTGCCCCTCTATATACAGAGTTATGGCCCTTTGTTTATTTTTAATACCGAAGTTTGTTCCCGGCATAACTTCCATGTTATTTCACCTACATTGACCAAACTTGCTATAGTTTTAATGTATCTTGGGAAGTATGAGTGTCGCATTTTAAATTCGGGTGTTAATTTTTTATACCAAAGTTTGTCTATTGGCTAATAAGGGGAGATATGTTTTTGTTGACAAAAACAAAATTCTAGTTCTAGCTGAGATTTACTCCTAACTTTGTACACTTATTCTTTAAATAAACTTGATGGCATTTCTACACTTTTTGGATCATTGTTGAAAGATTCTTATTCCTTTTTACCCGGCTAAATTCAAAGTGAGGTCAAGGTCATTTATTTGAATAAGAAGATTGTGTGCGATACAGTTAAACTACAATGTAACGTTTCTTCAGTGACCGGCGCCAAATGAAAATCAGACAGGGCCATTCGATACTGGATTGTATCATCTCTGATCAAAAATACTGTGGCAACTAAGATGAAGGGAAATTGTTACACTGTCGGAGATGACACGGAGAGTTTTGATGACGAATATCACTCACAAGGACCTGATAATGTTTCTTCAGTGACCGGTGCCAAATGAAAATCAGACAGGGCCATTCGATACTGGATTGTATCATTTCTGATCAAAAATACTGTGGCAACTAAGATGAAGGGAAATTGTTACACTGTCGAAGATGACACGGAGAGTTTTGATGACGAATATCGCTCACAAGGACCTGATAATGTGTTAACTCGACACATCACGATTGTCCCGAACATGCCTGTGAACATTGCCTGTGAACATGCCTGTGCTATCCTGAGTTATTCGGTTACCCACAAAAGGCTACTATCCTTGCAGAAGCAATGCAAATATCATCTACGCAACCCTCGAGAGTTTTTCTTGATTTACGATCGATAAAATAAAACGAAAGAGAATTAAAAATATTTGTGCACTACTGTTACAAGTCAAAGATTTTCTTGGGACATATCTCTTAACTTTCTGCTACAAGTTAAAGACTTCCTTGTGACATGTCTCTTTAAACCTTCTGTTACAAGTTAAAGACCTTCTTAGGACATGTCTCTTTAAATCTTCTGTTACAAGTTAAAGACTTCCACGAGACATGTCTCTTTAAACCGTTTGTTACTAATTAAAGACTTCCTTGGGACATGTCTCTTTAAACCTTCTGTTACAGATTAAAGACTTCCTCAGGACATGTCTCTTTAAACTTTCTGTGACAAGTTAAAGACTTCCTCAGGACATGTCTCTTTAAACCTTCTGTTACAAGTTAAAGACTTCCTCGGGACACGTCTCTTTAAACCTTCTGTTGCAAGTTAAAGACTTCCTGGGGACATGTCTCTTTAAACCTTCTGTTACAAGTTAAAGACTTCCTCGGGACATTTCTCTTTAAACCTTCTGTGACAAGTTAAAGACTTCCTGGGGACATGTCTCTTTAAACCCTTCTGTTACAAGTTAAAGACTTCCTCGGGACACGTCTCTTTAAACCTTCTGTGACAAGTTAAAGACTTCCACGAGACATGTCTCTTTAAACCTTCTGTGACAAGTTAAAGACTTCCTCGGGACATGTCTCTTTAAACCTTCTGTTACAAGTTAAAGACTTCCTCGGGACATTTCTCTTTAAACCTTCTGTGACAAGTTAAAGACTTCCTGGGGACNAGGACACGTCTCTTTAAACCTTCTGTTACAAGTTAAAAACTTCCTCGGGACACGTCTCTTTAAACCTTCTGTGACAAGTTAAAGACTTCCTCGGGACATGTCTCTTTAAACCCTCTGTTACAAGTTAAAGACTTCCGTGGGACATGTGTCTGTAAACCCTCTGTTACAAGTTAAAGACTTCCTCGGGACACGTCTCTTTAACCCCTCTGTTACAAGTTAAAGACCTCCGTGGGACACGTCTCTTTAAACCCTCTGTTACAAGTTAAAGACTTCCGTGGGACATGTGTCTGTAAACCCTCTGTTACAAGTTAAAGACTTCCTCGGGACACGTCTCTTTAACCCCTCTGTTACAAGTTAAAGACCTCCGTGGGACACGTCTCTTTAAACCCTCTGTTACAAGTTAAAGACTTCCGTGGGACATGTGTCTGTAAACCCTCTGTTACAAGTTAAAGACTTCCTCGGGACACGTCTCTTTAAACCTTCTGTTACAAGTTAAAAACTTCCTCGTGACACGTCTCTTTAAACCTTCTGTGACAAGTTAAAGACTTCCTCGGGACATGTCTCTTTAAACCTTCTGTTACAAGTTAAAGACTTCCACGAGACACGTCTCTTTAAACCCTCTGTTACAAGTTAAAGACTTCCTGGGGACACGTCTCTTTAAACCCTCTGTTACAAGTTAAAGACCTCCGTGGGATATGTCTCTTTAAACCCTCTGTTACAAGTTAAAGACCTCCCTGGGACATGTGTCTTTAAACCCTCTGTTACAAGTTAAAGACTTCCTGGGGACACGTCTCTTTAAACCCTCTGTTACAAGTTAAAGACTTCCTGGGGACACGTCTCTTTAAACCCTCTGTTACAAGTTAAAGACTTCCGTGGGACATGTGTCTGTAAACCCTCTGTTACAAGTTAAAGACTTCCTCGGGACACGTCTCTTTAACCCCTCTGTTACAAGTTAAAGACCTCCGTGGGACATGTCTCTTTAAACCCTCTGTTACAAGTTAAAGACTTCCTCAGGACACGTCTCTTTAAACCCTCTGTTACAAGTTAAAGACCTCCGTGGGACACGTCTCTTTAAACCCTCTGTTACAAGTTAAAGACCTCCTTGGGACATGTGTCTTTAAACCCTCTGTTACAAGTTAAAGACCTCCCTGGGACATGTGTCTTTAAACCCTCTGTTACAAGTTAAAGACCTCCTTGGGACATGTGTCTTTAAACCCTCTGTTACAAGTTAAAGACCTCCTTGGGACATGTGTCTTTAAACCCTCTGTTACAAGTTAAAGACCTCCCTGGGACATGTGTCTTTAAACCCTCTGTTACAAGTTAAAGACCTCCGTGGGATATGTCTCTTTAAACCCTCTGTTACAAGTTAAAGACTTCCGTGGGACATGTGTCTGTAAACCCTCTGTTACAAGTTAAAGACTTCCTCGGGACACGTCTCTTTAAACCCTCTGTTACAAGTTAAAGACCTCCGTTTGACATGTCTCTTTAAACCCTCTGTTACAAGTTAAAGACCTCCGTGGGACACGTCTCTTTAAACCCTCTGTTACAAGTTAAAGACTTCCTGGGGACACGTCTCTTTAAACCCTCTGTTACAAGTTAAAGACCTCCCTGGGACATGTCTCTTTAAACCCTCTGTTACAAGTTAAAGACCTCCCTGGGATTCGTCTCTTTAAACCCTCTGTTACAAGTTAAAGACCTCCGTGGGACATGTGTCTGCCTTTCTTCCATGTACACAACTCTCTTGGAACATATCTTTTTAAATCTTCTGTTATGTTTTCATGACTTTGCTGACATACATTGTTGACAGATAAATAATTGAAAAAAACGACAAAAACATACATAAATAGGTATTTTAATGTCTGTAAATGGTTAAAAGTAGTATTAGAAAAGTTAATGATAATAGTTTCTAGCAATCTGAGTTCTATATAAGCGAATAAATATGGTCGTTCAAATGGGGAAAAAAGGTTATCAAAATTTCTCACGCATACTCATTTACCTATCACATTTTTTGTTGACAAATTGGATGATTTCAACATTGGACTGTTTTCAGAAGGCAAACATATCGCCGTGAATGCCATCCAACAATTAAGTCTACAATCTTATACTAGAACAAATCAGGGAGATAATGTGTAAGATATCATGAATGATTCCATGTAACCCTTACACAAATGACAGGCAGAAAATAACCTTAACCCTAACAAATAGCACAGGTATAATTGGTAAGGTAACATACTACCTTAACACAAATAACGGGTAACATGTTTAGGGTAGCGTACACCCTTAACACAAATTGCAGGTATGATATGTAAGGTAGCGTACACCCTTAACACAAATAACAGTTAGAATGTTTAAGGTAAAATACATCATTTACACAAATTGCAGGTATAATGTGTAAGGTAGCATACAAAATTTACACAAACAACGGGTAACTTGTTGAAGGTAGCTTAAACCCTTAACACAAGTAACAGGTATAATGTGTAAGGAAACATATACCCTTAACACAAATTAAAGGTATAATGTGTAAGGTAGCGTACACCCTAAACACAAGTTACAGATATAATGTTTGTGGTTGCGTACTCCCTTAACACACATTACAGGTATAATGTGTAAGGAAACATATACCCTTAACACAAATTACAGCTATAATGTGTAAGTTAACATATACCCTTAACACAAGTTACAGATATAATGTGTAAGGTAGCGTACACCCTATACACAAGTTACTGGTATAAAGTGTAAGGTAGCGTACTCCCTTAACACACATTACAGGTATAATGTGTAAGGAAACATATACCCTTAACACAAGTTACAGATATAATGTGTAAGTTAACATATACCCTTAACACAAGTTACAGATATAATGTGTAAGGTACGGTACACCCTATACACAAGTTACTGGTATAAAGTGTAAGGTAGCGTACTCCCTTAACACACATTACAGGTATAATGTGTAAGGTAACATATACCCTTAACACAAGTTACAGATATAATGTGTGAGGTAGCATATACCCTTAACACAAGTTACAGATATAATGTGTAAGGTAGCATATACACTTAACACAAGTTACAGCTATAATGTTTTAGGTAACATATACCCTTAACACAAGTAACAGATATAATGTGTAAGGTAGCATATACCCTTAACACAAATTACAGGTATAATGTGTAAGGTAACATATACCCTTAACACAAATTACAGGTATAATGTGTAAGGTAGCATATACCCTTAACACAAATAACAGGTATAATGTGTAAGTTAGCATACACCCTTAACACAAATAACAGGTATAATGTGTAAGGTAGCATATATCCTTAACACAAATAACAGGTATAATGTGTAAAGGTAGCGTACACCCTAAACACAAGTTACTGGTATAAAGTGTAAGGTAGCGTTCACCCTTAACACAAATAACAGGTATAATGTGTAAGATAGCGTACACCCTTTAACACAATTTACAGATATAATGTGTAAGGAAGCATATGCCCTTAACATAAGTTACAGATATAATGTGTAAGGTTGCATATACCCTTAACACACATTACAGGTATAATGTGTAAGGTAACATATACCCTTAATACAAATTACAGATATAATGTGTAAGGTAGAATATACCCTTAACACAAGTTACAGATATAATGTTTGTGGTTGCGTACTCCCTTAACACACATTACAGGTATAATGTGTAAGGTAACATATACCCTTAACACAAATAACAGGTATAAACTGTAAGGTAGCGTATACCCTTAACACAAATAACAAATATAATGTGTGAGGTAGCGTACACCCTAAACACACATTACAGGTATAATGTGTGAGGTAGCGTACACCCTAGACACAAATAACAGATATAATGTGTGAGGTAGCGTACACCCTAAACACAAATTACAGGTTTAATGTGTAAGGTAGCATATACCCTTAACACAAGTTACAGATATAATATGTAAGGTAGCATACACCCTTAACACAAATAACAGGTATAATGTGTAAGGTAGTGCATACCCTTAACAAAAATTATAGATATCTTTTATGCCACTGTACATAGTAAGATAAATTCAACTGTCTGTGTTAAAAAAAAAAATTGTTCAAACCTATTATGACTAGAACAGATGACGTCACATTTGTAATTTTTTGGTAATGATCGCCACTTTTATCTGGCTACGTATACAGTATATATGTTTGCTTTGATCAACACCACGAACCGATAGCAAATAAATGTGTTCGCCTCGAATTTTTATCCGAATTGAAATATTTCAGAATGAATAATATAAAATGCAATCGTAATGATCATGTTCGTCAAAAATAAGTGAACTTTAGTTTTTACAAATTCAACATTGACAAGAAGGGCAAGCAAGATCTGGGACAATGAGGTATAAGACTTCAGTCACCGTCGGTACATTCACTGTAGTATTATGAGGTGGTGAATGACGTAATAACATATATTACGTCATTTTTATGTTAATTTCTTTCTTCCAAAGATTACTGATAACATATAACACTAAAATTGTACATCTTCGGCACTTTTCGGCAAGTTCGGGAAAAACATGCAATGAATTTAAACATTGTATTACAGTTACCGACTCTTTAAAAATAAATAAGATTGCAATGGAGAGCTTTGTATACAATATTGAGAACCCGGATGGCGATTTTCCTTATCAACTATTGTTATCAATATCAGAATGAAATATTCCATGTAATTTTCCAAGGATCTCGAAAAGACTCGATAACGTTCAACTGAAAACACAGATGACGTTATTATGCTGTGACGTCATGGCAAACTACACAACACGAGTAGTCGAACTTTTTGGTTAGGCTCGTGCATATTTTGCAATTATTATGGTGAAATTCAAAGTGAGTTGATGACGTCAAGGCAAGAATTTACAGGTATGACGTCACAGGTACCCCAACTCGATACCAGAGGGAGTTTGCTTTTTTCCCTTATATTTCTTCTTTCAACATTTTTTTGTCGCATTTCCTACGTCACTAACAGTTCACAAACAACTGAGGTTTTCTTCAACAGAAGAAACATTTTCCCAATTCACGTCTCGTGCACTGACAGGGAATGAGTGCAGCGCTTTGTGTGACGTCACAATACAAATGGGTGTTGTTATTGTGACGTCATGATGAAGTGTCATTCTCTGGAACTGCCATTGCAAGAAACATATCCAAATATCTGGGGACTCCAGCATAGCACAGACATCGGCGTGATGCATTTGTTATGGGGGTTTACCGCTTCTACACAATAAACACCCTGCTAGCCAGGGAATCTTTCCGTATTAAACGTCAAAGGCACGTGAAAAAAAGGATTTCGCCAATTTATCCCGAACGCAAAAAGGCATTTATTTCTAACTTCCGTTGCCGAAAGTTTTGTAAGAAACTACTTCCGGTTTGAACTTCATTCGACAATATGCGATTTAACTTCCGACACAGACGATTCAATATCCTCCATCAGACTTTCGTCATTTAAGGATTCATTTAAGTCGATGACTTGAAGGTGTTTTTAACATCCTCCGTCACCGTTGAATCAGCATCATCGTTTTCAGAACCCTCAGTTTTCAGACCGGAAGCTGTCGGTTGTTCTAAACCCACTTCCGGGTAAAGTGGGGTCACCGAATTAATTTTCGGCGTCGAGTCTCCAGTTTGCATCAGACCGTTCATCATTGTCTTGAACCCCGAATGACCTTTGTCTTCCGTTTTATTGAATTTAATTTTGTACACAGTTGTAGTCATAAGTTTATTCCATCTTTCTATTTGAAACTTTCTTTTTCGTTGTTTAAGTTTTTCTCGTGACTGCGCATGCGTGTAATACAGTGTAAAATTGTTGACAATGGCAGGAACGGACAAGGCAATAACCAGGACACCGGAAATGGCACACAACGACCCAACAAGATAGCCAAGTCCAGATTTCGGCGTCATGTCACCATAACCGACAGTCGTCATGGTAACGATAGCCCACCAAAAAGCAAGAGGGATGTGTTTGAAGTCGCTCTCTTCCGTCGAGAACATTTCCATGTAATACTCAATACAGGCGAAGATGACGACGCCAATTATCACTACAAGCAGTAGAAGGAATAGCTCTTTGGTACTAGCCTTGATTGTGTAGATCAGGATCTTCAAAGCCAAGAAATGTTTCATAAGAATAAAAATCCGAAAAATTCGAAGCACGCGAAAGGCGAATAGCACTCTTATGAACGTGAAAAGTGTAATAGGGTCCGGATGAAGAAAAACGATGGCCACGGCTATGTAATATGGAACGATGCATATAGCTTCTATGATCGTTAATGGCGTGGTGAGAAAGCCCTTCTTGGACGGTGCCGTCAGAAGCTTGACCAAAAATTCCAAGAAGAAAAAGACGTTGCACGAATTGTCAATGATGAGCAGAATGTCGTACGGTGTGATGTCGTAAAATATATCCAGCTCGTGACGTAACATATCGCTCGTGATATTGGAACCTGCGCTCGTGGCATGGACGGTGAGTGCCTCGAAGTACGGAAGCGTCTCGAGGATGAAGACGGAAATCGACAAGAGTACAACCAGCAGAGAAGTGACCGCATAAAACTGTGAAAGAAACAGAAGAAAAAAGGATATCAATATTTATCTCTCACTTTATTATGACATGTATGCTTGGTTTGGTTTGTTTTTGTTGGTCGTCCTATTAACAGCTATGGTCATTTAAGAACGTGCCAGGTTTTGGTGGTGGAGAAAATCCGGAGTTCCCGGAGAAAAACCACCGACCTACGGCCAGTACCTGGCGACTGCCCCCATAGGTCTCGAACCCGTAACGCAGTGGTGGAGGGCTAGTGGTAGCAGAATGTCAGACGCCTTAACCACTTGGCCAACGCGGCCCCTGACATGTATGCTTTTCCAAAAGGGTTGTATAGATAATTACATTTTGGGTGGTAAATTGATAAGGAATTTAAAAGGTTAACGAAAAACTTGTGCAACTCTTTTTCTGTTAGAATGATTTTGAGTGAGACGTCTCCAACACAAAGTTGCATTCTTTCTAATGCACATAAGAAATAGAACTTGTAAGTTAGCATTTAAAGTATAAACTATAGCATACAACCTTAACACAAATGAAGTGCATAACGTGTAAGGTGATATATACATTTCATACATAATGTGTAAGGTATATAGCATAATCATTAACTGGAATTTCATACATAATGTGTAAGGTATATAGCATAAGCATTAACTGGAATTTCATACATAATGTGTAAGGTATATAGCATAAGCATTAACTGGAATTTCATACATATTGTGTAAGGTATATAGCATAAGCATTAACTGGAATTTCATACATATTGTGTAAGGTATATAGCATAAGCATTAACTGGAATTTCATACATAATGCGTAAGGTATATAGCATAATCATTAACTGAAATGTCATACATAATGTGTAAGGTATATAGCATTATCATTAACGGGAATTTCAAACATAATGTGTAAGGTAACATACACCCCTAACTTGAATTTCAGGCATAATGTGTAAGGTATATAGCATACTCATTAACTTGAATTTCATACATAATGTGTAAGCTATATAGCATAATCATTATCTGGAATTTCATACGTAATGTGTAAGGTAACATACACCTTTAACACATCTAACAGGTATAATGTGTACGGTAGCATACACCCCTAACTTGAATTTCAGGCATAATGTGTAAGGTATATAGCAAAATCATTAACTGGAATTTCATACGTAATGTGAAAGGTAACATACACCCTTAAATGGGTGTTCATGTTTAATGTGTAAGGTAACATACACCTTTAACACATCTAACAGGTATAATGTGTAAGGTAGCATGCACCCCTATCTTGAATTTCAGGCATAATGTGTAAGGTATATAGCATTATCATTAACTGGAATTTTATACGTAATGTGTAAGCTATATAGCATAATCATTATCTGGAATTTCACATATACCCTTAACACAAATTACAGGTATAATGTGTAAGGTAACATATACCCTTAACACAAGTTACAGATATAATGTTTGTGGTTGCGTACTCCCTTAACACACATTACAGGTATAATGTGTAAGGAAACATATACCCTTAACACAAATTACAGGTATAATGTGTAAGGTAGCATACACCCTTAACTGGGATTTCATACGTAATGTGTAAGGTATATAGCATATTCATTAACTGGAATTTCATACATAATGTGTAAGCTATATAGCATAATCATTATCTGGAAGTTCATACATAATGTGTAAGGTATATCGCATAATCTTAAACTGGAATTTCATACATAATGTGTAAGGTAGCTTACACCCTTAACTGGAATTTCATACATAATGTGTAAGGTCGCTGCCAAGCACGGCGGACCCTATACACAAGTTACTGGTATAAAGTGTAAGGTAGCGTTCACCCTTAACACAAATAACAGGTATAATGTGTAAGGTAGCATGCACCCCTATCTTGAATTTCAGGCATAATGTGTAAGGTAGATAGCATAATCATTAACTGGAATTTCATACATAATGTGTAAGGTAGCATACACCCTTAACTGGAATTTCATACGTAATGTGTAAGGTAACATACACCCTTAAATGGGTGTTCATGTTTAATGTGTAAGGTAACATACACCCTTAACTGGGTGTTCATGTATAATGCGATGGGTAACTCACAACCTTAACACAAATTACAGGTCGGCTGCATAAAGTAGGAAATAGTCTAAATGATACTCAGTTTATGCTTCAATGTATTAAACACTAACACTTAATTATATTTTGTCCCTTCAACCCCTCCCCTTTCCTATCCACTCCTATCCTGTCCGTCCCATCCTACTCCCTGAATCCCTGCCCCTCCTTCCCTCTCCCTCCATCCCGCCCGTCCCGTCCTACTTTCTCCCTGCCCCCTTCATCCCTAGTGCCACTGTAAACCGCCCCTCGTTTCCCGCCCGTTCCACAGCCTATTCTCTTCCTGCCATTCCACCCGTCCCCTTTTCCCCCATTCTCTCACTCCGCTTATATATATATATATGCATACATGAGCAATGAGTAAGAACACGTTAATACCGTGACACAGTCCGTCGCCTAGAAGATTCTTATAATTTAGAAAAATATTTATCAGAGAATGGATTAGTATACAACAACATTCTATATATATACGTCTAGGCCATTTTAACTTTTTACGGTTACACCGACGTCAAAACCCCACGTTATGTAACTAAATACTGCGAGGAGCTTAAGTTGCGTATTGTGAATATGAAAATCACGCTTTTACAGTTGTTTTACGTTCGGATTTAGGAATCAATAATCGATTTGGATTTTGGATAGAAGTCAAAACTTTGGCTGACTCGGATTAAATTATTTATGATCTTTCTCTGCATAACGCTTGCTGTGTATTCTGCATGAAGAACCAGGGATCAGAATACTAGGTTAAGCTTGATGTGTTTTCTTAATATTTATGATGATAAAGCATGCATTTGAAATTTGGTACCCTACATTCCATAAAGAGTTCGCAATGAAACCTCTATCTGTCATAGTGATACGTGTTCTCTTTCATGTTTACAACTCGCACGAGACCAACTGATACTCATAGTCTTAACTGTTTTGCTTTCCTTTAAAAAACTGGATGAAGATAAAAAAAAATGTATGCATTCAGTGTTGTTTTAAGTTGTTTTTTTAAAGGGTGGTGGGAGTGGGGAGGGGTTGGCTGGCATTTAAGGACAAAACGAAGTTTTTTTTAAGCTTTGACCGATTTTTTTTCATTATAAAATACTGTTCCCGAAACAAGACTAAAAAGGCTGAAAACAAATTTCATGATTTTATAAATTTACGAAAACAGAGACTATAATTATGATGTCTAGCGTTTTATTTTCAGGGGCCAATATTTTCGCGGACCGTGTATACTGACCACGGAACAAATTATTGGGTTTGAATTTCGCATAGCACCCGTACAAAATTTTAAAGCTGAGAATTTTGGTCTGAAAGTTAAGCATCCGCAGAATGATAACGTTGTACAGTACTGTTGAATCCGATCACAGAAAATTGTGTTACCTCGATCGAACTGTCTATGTATTTAAATATAAATATTTCAGTTTTATGCCAATATTTTCATCTTACATCTGTGTACATGGACCGTAATATATTTAGTGTAAACATTATATAATTTCTTTTATTTCAGACACAATTAATACAAATTCAGACGAATAAAACAGAAATAGAATATAGAAATACGCTAAAAACTTAAATCAGTTCATCTCCTTGAGGACAAAAATAACATTTTTGAGATGAACAGTGCATTTCATTGTCGAAATAGACATTAAACCTAACTTTAAAACTCACGTTATAAAGATTTTTTTACAAGGTGTGAAAGAAGGTAGAACGGCGAAGGTAGGAATGGAGAAAATTCTCGTTTACGGAAAGTACCGACGGTTCCCGATTGAAGAAGCATCGTACACCAGTCTTATTACAGTTACAATCAAAGCGAAATATATGGAAACTTAAGTGAAGTTTTCTAGTGTAGTTAGTGGGACATGAATCCCTTAAATAACTCCAGCATTAATAATCAAATGGGATCAACGACTGTTTCCGCGTAATATATACCCTTATGCATGAATGGACTGATCCGATTATACACTTAAAAAATAGCAACCCTCTACTGCCCTCGACCCTTCTATATACTTCGTCGTAACAACTTTCGTTAACCCTCTGCCATCACCATACCCCCATGTCGATATCATAACGTATTTCATGCATTTATCATGTGTATCTAATTTTCTCGAGGTGATAAAATAGCGAGAGATAGAATGCGGACGTTTGATTATTCGAAAAATATCAATAATAGAATCGAGATTAAACGCGAAAATTAAAAGGCAAAAACGGGTGTGGAATTGAAACAACCTTGTGAAATTCTCATCACGCATAAATAGACTTTAGGGCATTACCAGTCAAAGGATACATGCTAACCAACTGCTACTGGTATCTTCTTACGAAAGTTACACAAGAATATGATGACACGTTTGCAAGTAAGGTACACAAGAATTGATGACGCATTTTAAAAGTACATATTGACATATTAATTAAAAAAAAAGATCACACTCAAATCATTACTCTTAATATTAATTTGATATTATTAAAGGGAGGTCACTCTAACACAAGCAATGGTTTAATTTGTATGGTGGCATAAAGCCTTAAATGAGATATCCTGAACACACGCGTGTACAAATGTTGGGCACTACTTACCGTGGCCCCTTTAGAGGAATAAGGGTCCTGTAGGGCTCTCCACACTCTGGGCCTGTGGCGGTACCAACAGGGATCGTTTGGTCCCACGTTTCGTGCAGAGTTCTGTGTACGCTTATCATCTTGTTCAAATCTATCGATCATTTCAAGCGTGTCTTCGAAACTGATGTAGTGAACCCAACAACACATTTCGATATCTTTATCGTCTATTTCCCAAAAGTCGAGTTCCTCTCTTAATAAGGGACCACACAGACTTATCGGCACGTGCAGTTTCCCAATCCTGTAAAAGTTCAAAATGTACCCAAATAAGGTCGGGTGTCGGTCAAAGAAATATTCCCGTTTCCCAGTCAATCTAGCCGAATCGGCTAATTTAGCCAGTCTGGTTGTCGGAAACTGAGAAATTGTTTCTAACTTTGTCTGATGCTTGAATCCCCCTATATTGAGTGTAATGATCTCAGAGCCCACATCGTCAGAGCTGCTTCCTTTGCTGGTTGCAGATTGTACTCTTGTTGGTATTTTTATGCTTCCAGTTTCGTCCGTCGCGACTTTGGCCTCATATGACAGGCCGTCATCTATTACGTGTCCGTTCTTTTCATCAGTTTCTGTTTTGGCCGGAGCTGTCAGGCCGCACGTGACTTTGTCCGATTTATCAAGAAGAGTTTCTTGATGACCATTTGCTGTCATCTCCGATTGTTTTTGTGTCGTATGATTACAGTTCGAATTCTCATCGGTCACTCTATTGTCCCAATCCAACTGACCAGTAGTTTCAGCTGTACGTAGGTCAGTTGACGTTTTGTCCGGCTCTTTCCGGTCGTCTACATTTTCGTTCGAACTCTTCTGAACAAAAGCTAATTTATTCGAATTTCTTTTGTCAGTAGTCGATTTTGATTTTTTACGGGCCTTCTGGTCAGCAAACTTGACATTTCCTTTCCTTCCAGGTTCCATTTGTTGTTTTTGGTTGTTAGGAGTCGGATCAGATGATTCTATATAGACTCCCAAATAACATCATCCCCCAATACTGTCCGTTCGGTCTTTTCTAACGTTCCGATAACCCCTCATGTCTTGTTTTCCGAATGTGACATTACATTTAAGGATTACATTTATACATGTTAAGGAGAATAAAATCATATTTAATATTTAGGAGACTGGCGTCTGTGTTGGAGGCTCGGTGTGTAATCCTGTAAATGGTTCGAAAGCTACAACCCAAACCCTGGAGACAGGGCCCTCCAACAATGGCGTATCGTATAAAGTACAATCCTCACATATTGTGTTTTAAATGTTTAATCCAAGATGGAAACATATTTCAAACCTTTCAAACAGCATGAAGCTAGATTTCGTTTTACATCCCAACTTCACAACACCACACGATATTTCACTCTATACTCCCGAACACGAACTTTTAAAATCCAACAGGCATTCTTCCACTTTTAAAACTCACCTTCCTGTCCAGTATCTCTGGCTAACAATAACCGATACACATACAACAATCAAGTTAACGTTAGTCATTGAGGGTTAATTTTTTTCCTATCTACACCGGCTAAATATGATCAACCTGCTTTTTAACGGGTTCGAGTGTTAAACCGCTGTTAATCTCCATTGAAAATGGCACAATGAACGACACAATACTACGAGCTGGTCCGATAGTTATGTCAGGTAATTCCGAGCAGCTTACCTGTCATTGTCCAAACGTGGATATGGTACGCCAGGACGGTATATACACAAAGAACATCCACACACTAGATCGAGGGTCCTCAATACACAATAAAAATGAAAGCACATCTAATTCTGAATAGCACAGAGCGACGTTTTTTTCTAATGCTAGGTATTATAGCATTGCCGTTCATCTAAATCAACAAAGATGCTATAATCTTGTCCCGTTTTAATAACATTTGCCAATTTTTGAAACGACCGATAACAAAATATGCAGCCCTGACGCAGCCCTTTGTTGCAGAGAAAAGGCCGAATTTATACTTTGTCATACAAAATGGTATTATCATTATTCCGTTTTGATGGCCTTGTCACTGTCGTAAGACGACAGTATTAAATACTAAACCCTGGCAAAATCCTTTGTTTTAACCAAAAAGCTGAATTCATACATTTAGATATAAATGTTGATGTCCAACAAATGATCAATAGAAATGAAGCCCTGATGAAGTCCTTTGTTCCAATTTATGCTTCTGCTTAAAAATGAGTGTTAATTTTTCGACAGCTGATAAATGAAAATAAATGGATCCCTTGGGAAGTCCATAGTTTCGAAAGTAAGGCCGAAATATCCTTTATGTTTATGCGGTGGAATTTGTAGTTCTTAAACATGTATATGCCATTCAGTATTATTATGCCATTCAGTATTATTATGCCATTCAGTATTATTATGCCATTTAGTTTAACAGATAAACTATTGTCACTCGAGAATATAAGACTATCGTGAGTCCAAAACTTTCAACTGAGATTTATAAACGTGATTCCTTTCGTTGATCTTACATACTCGATAACACGTTTTCTATTGCGTACATGATAGGGTGCAGGTGTAAGTATGTAGCGTCTGTATTGAATAGGATCCTTTGTAGAAAATAACATAAGTATTTTTCAAAATTGTTTGTCTACATTTTTTGGACGCAATGAAAAAACAAACATTTGTGACAATGACGTCTGTAAGGAGAAACAATTATAACAGACATTTAAAAGTGTATAACTTTTGTGTTAATACAGACAGTGTATTGTTCGGGCTGGCGTAACGATAATGGGAGAAAGTACAGAGCATTTATTAGCAGTAGTAATTGTTCGCTAGGTCTTTTGTCAGACATCCTCGATATCCAGGGGTTACACTCACTTACGCTCTCTGCACCCCTGGAATATGTCATAGCAAAATCGAAGGCTTAATATGCAGCGATTTGTGGATGAGACGAAAAGACTTGTTTCGTCCTTTGATGTACATCGAAAGAATCTCGCGGTCGCGTAACGGCAAACAATGACAGGTTTTGAAGTCGGGCGTCTCTCCTTTGTAATTTCGTATTGCAGAGTTATCTGCTCTTGTGAGCAGGTATTAATTGTTACGTCATTAGTTTGTGTGAGAAAGTTACGTCTTTTTCTGAAATAATTATAACGTTACTTTCACAAACAAATGACGTAAAAAGCAATACTTGTTCACAAGAGCAGTTAACTCTGCAATACAAAAAGCCGGAATAAGCCAAGTGATTTGTCAGGTTTTGTTTACCTGACACCAATCAAATAGCTAGCCGCGTGCCTTCAATTTTGCTATGAAATATTTCAGTTGTGTAGAGAGCGAAAGGTGAGCGTAACCGCTGAAAATCGAGGATGATTGTCAGACAATTGTAGTGGTCGTCATTCACTAGGTCGATTGTCAGACCATTGTAGTTGTCGTCATTCACTAGGTCGATTGGCAGACAATTGTAGTGGGCGGCGTTCACTAGGTCGATAGTCAAACAATTGTAGTTGTCATCGTTCACTAGGTCGTTTGTTAAACAATTCAAGATGTCGTCATTCACTAGGTCGATTGTCAGACCATTGTAGTTGTCGTCGTTCACTAGGGCGATTGTCAGACAATTGTAGTGGTCGTCGTTCACTAGGTCGATTGTCAGACAATTGTAGTTGTCGTCGTTCACTAGGTCGATTGTTATACAATTGTAGTGGTCGTCCTTCACTAGGTCGATTGTCAGACAATTGTAGTGGTCGTCGTTCACTAGGTCAATTGTCAGACAATTGTAGTTGTCGTCGTTCACTAGGTCGATTGTTATACAATTGTAGTGGTCGTCCTTCACTAGGTCGATTGTTAGACAATTGTAGTGGTCGTCGTTCACTAGGTCGATTAGTAAACAATTGTAGTGGTCATCGTTCACTAGGTCGATTGTTAAACAATTGTAGCGGTCGTCGTTCACTCGGTCGATTGTTAAACAATTGTAGTGGTCGTCGTTCACTAGGTCTATTGTTAAACAATTGTAGTGGTCATCGTTCACTAGGTCGATTGTTAATCAATTGTAGTGGTCATCGTTCACTAGGTCGATTAGTAAACAATTGTAGTGGTCATCGTTCACTAGGTCGATTGTTAAACAATTGTAGCGGTCGTCGTTCACTAGGTCGATTGTTAAACAATTGTAGTGGTCGTCGTTCACTAGGTCGATTGTTAAACAATTGTAGTGGTCGTCGTTCACTAGGTCGATTGTTAAACAATTCATGATGTCGTCGTTCACTAGGTCGATTGTTAATCAATTGTAGTGGTCGTCGTTCACCAGGTCATTGTTAGACAATTGTAGTGGTCGTCGTTCACTAGGTCGATTGTTAAACAATTGTAGTGGTCGTCGTTCACTAGGTCTAATGTTAAACAATTGTAGTGGTCGTCGTTCACTAGGTCTAATGTTAAACAATTATAGTGGTCATCGTTCACTAGGTCTAATGTTAAACAATTGTAGTGGTCGTCGTTCACTAGGACTAATGTTAAACAATTGTAGGGGTCGTCGTTCACTAGGTCGATTGGTAAACAATTGTAGTGGTCATCGTTCACTAGGTCTAATGTTAAACAATTGTAGGGGTCGTCGTTCACTAGGTCGATTGTCAGACAATTGGAGTGGTCGTCGTTCACTAGGTCTATTGTCAGACAATTATAGTGGTCGTCGTTCACTAGGTCTATTGTCAGAAAATTGTAGTGGTCGTCGTTCACTAGGTCGATTGTCAGACAATTGTAGTGGTCGTCGTTCACTAGGTCTATTGTCAGACAACTGAAGCGGTCGTCATTCACTAGATCGATCGTTGTTTCCCCTCATGCTGAAATCTTTAATTTGTCTAATCGCTATGATTATGAAAACGTATTTGTTAAAGAGTCCTAATTTAGTGCATTAGTAACATTTACTGACGTGTAGGAAGTCCACATTAGTAACATTTACTGACGTGTAGGAAGTCCACATTAGTAACATTTACTGACGTGTAGGAAGTCCACATTAGTAACATTTACTGACGTGTAGGAAGTCCACATTAGTAACATTTACTGACGTGTAGGAAGTCCACATTAGTAACATTTACTGACGTGTAGGAAGTCCACATTAGTAACATTTACTGACGTGTAGGAAGTCCACATTAGTAACATTTACTGACGTGTAGGAAGTCCACATTAGTAACATTTACTGACGTGTAGGAAGTCCACATTAGTAACATTTACTGACGTGTAGGAAGTCCACATTAGTAACATTTACTGACGTGTAGGAAGTCCACATTAGTAACATTTACTGACGTGTAGGAAGTCCACATTAGTAACATTTACTGACGTGTAGGAAGTCCACATTAGTAACATTTACTGACGTGTAGGAAGTCCACATTAGTAACATTTACTGACGTGTAGGAAGTCCACATTAGTAACATTTACTGACGTGTAGGAAGTCCACATTAGTAACATTTACTGACGTGTAGGAAGTCCACATTAGTAACATTTACTGACGTGTAGGAAGTCCACATTAGTAACATTTACTGACGTGTAGGAAGTCCACATTAGTAACATTTACTGACGTGTAGGAAGTCCACATTAGTAACATTTACTGACGTGTAGGAAGTCCACATTAGTAACATTTACTGACGTGTAGGAAGTCCACATTAGTAACATTTACTGACGTGTAGGAAGTCCACATTAGTAACATTTACTGACGTGTAGGAAGTCCACATTAGTAACATTTACTGACGTGTAGGAAGTCCACATTAGTAACATTTACTGACGTGTAGGAAGTCCACATTAGTAACATTTACTGACGTGTAGGAAGTCCACATTAGTAACATTTACTGACGTGTAGGGAGTCCACATAAGTAACATTTACTGACGTGTAGGAAGTCCACATTAGTAACATTTACTGACGTGTAGGGAGTCCACATAAGTAACATTTAATGACGTGTAGGAAATCCACATTAGTAACATTTACTGACGTGTAGGGAGTCCACATAAGTAA